ATAGTTCGGATTAATTTAATTATTTTTAAAACAAAAAATGAGGATTTAAAAAAACTTTTTATTAAACGCTCAATAGTTAAATTCTTGCAGGTTAAATTCTTGATGGTCGAAGCTGAGTAAATAAAAGAAAAAAATATTTTAATTTTGGGATTATGTGTTGCTAAATGCTTATATAAATTCTTGTATTCATCGATTCTTGTGGCTTTTACCTTTTTAGAATTTTGCCACGTAAAATTAAAGTTATAAAAACTTGGTTTAATGTTATCTATATAACAAAGGGGGAATTTTGTGGAGAGTGATTGACAAAATTGAATTTTTTTATTTTATATTTTTTATAGTATTTACATATCAATTTTGAATAATTTTTATTGTTTTTTATTAAAAATTATTTTATTATTATTTTAAAATTATTTTATTGTTTTTATGTAAATTATATTTAAAAAGTGATTAATAAATAAATAAAATTATTTTTTAAATGATTATTTAAGTATTTTATTCGATTTTTATTCAAGTTTTTGTAATTATTTTAAATTGAAAATATTTTCTAGTACATTAAATCATTACAAAAATATTTAAAAGATTTTTTTTATTTTTTTCCTTAGTTGATTCATGCACTTTTCATTCAAAAAATGTCTTTTTTATGTGCCATTTTCTCTCTTTAACTTGTCCCCCTCCTCCTCCTTCTACACACCTTCCAAATAAAATGAAAATAAAAAAAAACAATTTATTTTGTGTCAAAAGCAATTATTAAAAAATTGGCCTGACTTTTACTTAAAAATTTTAAATAAATAAAAATCTCTCTTTCCTTTTTTTAAATTCTGATTTCTAAAAATTAATTTTGTTTATAGATATAATTTATAAAATACCTAATTTTTAAAATGCGTTATCATCCTTTTTGTATTTTCCGAACAAAATATAGAGTTTGCTATTATTTTATTGTAATTACTTCTTTTTTAATATATTCTTTATATATTATTTTCTTCTTAATTAAACAAATGGTAAGAAGTTTTTTAGATTTGAATAATTTTAAAAATTAAATTAGTGGCACCACGAGCCTTCAGGGACAGAAGTGTTGGGTTTCGGGTTTTGTCGGGGTAGAGCCTTCGGGTCGGGGTTCTGGTGGATGATTAAATTTACCCTAATTTAAAGTAAAATTCCTTCTTTCTTTTTTTAGAGTTTCCCTTTTCTTCTTTCAACATTTAATTATTTTCGAAATAATACACAATTTAAATACAAAATAAACGATAATAATGGAAAAGAAGTAATTATTGTTAAATTAATTTTACCAGAAGGTAGCCCTTCTTTAGAAGAACGTGCAACTCTTTCTGATAAAAAGCCTAAAGGTAAATTGAAAGTTTTTCTATTCGGATATTCTTCCTATTTTTGTCTCTTGGAATTTAAGTTTCTAAATTTATATGAGTGAGAGGAAGTATTGTTTTTGGATACTTTTAAGGAATTTAATTAAGTCCTTTTAATAATTAAATGAATATTGTGTTTATTAGAAGATTAAATTCAATTTAAAAATTCAGATCAATCTTTAATTTTAATGTGGGGTGGAGGATTTGATGATACGATAATTCGTGGCTGTTCGTGAGCATTTATTCATATATATTTTAAATATTTTATGTTTTATGTCCCGAATGGAATTGTAAAACAACGGATAATCGTTCAATGTTGGCTAAAGCAAGTGCCGTTATTTTTAATTATGTCGATACAAATGTTGAGAGAAGGCCTGGACAATATTTCGTTTTTTATAGCCAAGTACTTTATTTTTTTTGTAAACATTCTGTAGAAAATCTGTGCTAAATAATTTGAATTCTGTCAGTAATTTTAAAAGAAAATATTCTTCCAAATTAAAAAGAATTTCAAAATAATTAATTTATTCAAAGGAATCACCTATCCACATGTCTATTAATTCCAAATCTGATTTTTTTAATATGAGTTTTGGATTTAGAATGGACACCCCTGGAGCTTCACCTTATGGTAAAAGTTTCCGATTATTTTTTATTTAAAAATATTTTATTTTCAGGTTTTGCAGCATTATTGGCACCCGAATCAAAACCAAATAAAAATAAATTAAATAAACAAATAAATGAATTAATTGCTAAAAAGAGAAAAGATGTAGCTTGGTAATTAAATTAATAAAATTTATTTAAGGCGTTTGCAGTAGTTAAAAAATAAAATTATTGCAAAAAATTTAAAATCAACAAAAAGTTAAAATTTATGGAAATTATTCATTTCTTTTAAGGTTCGTTAGTCATTGTTCAACTCATAGCAAAAGAGAATGGATTGCTAAAGAAATGCAGGTAATTCTAGTGGTTCTGAAACTAAAATTTCAAGAAGCAAGACAGATACTTAAAACCTTTTGATTTTTTACGGTTTCCTTGTAAATCTTGGGTGTCTCGAATGGCTTTAAGTAATTCTAATACTTTTGAAATGAAATATATTTCGGGATAAGTAGAAAAAATTAGACAAAACAAAATAATTTGTTTAATCAAAAAATATATTTATTTTTTTAATTTAGAAATATATTAATGTAGACATTTATGGTAGTTGTGGAACTTTACAATGCTCTAAAGGAGTTGGGTTAAAATGTGTGCAAATGTTGAATACTGAGTAAATATTTTTATTTTTTATTAAAAAATATTTTAAAAATTGATATTAAAAATTGCTTACAAGCATTTGAGGATTTTTTTAAAATTAATTTTCGATACCTAAATTGCTTTTACATTAATAATTTAATAAATATTAATTATTTAAAAATTAATTATTCCATTTAATAAAATTTTTTTAAAGTTATTGGTTTTATTTTGCTGCAGAGAATAGTATATGTAAAGATTATTTAACTGAAAAAATTTGGGATCAAGGATTGAGTACTTTTTCTGTTCCTATTGTTTTAAAAAGAAGTTTAGTTCAACATTTACTTCCTCCTTTCTCTTTTATTGCTGTTGATGATTATAAAAGTATTCGAGAATTTACATATCATTTAAAAACTTTAATTAATACACCACAAGAATATATGTAAGTGAAGGAGGAGGAGGGGAAATTAATTAATTAAATTTAAAGGAAATATTTATTGTGGAGATATGATTATGTTTCTGTTAAATTAAATGGAGATACTGATCCTAGAGCAGAAAAACTTTTTGGTGTTTGCCAAATTTGTAAATTAACGCAAATGCATCCAAGCCCAATAATTACACTTCCAGCCCCCGTTAATGAATGGTTAAAAAATAAATTTAAATATTTTTTTAAATTTAAATTTTAGGTGGGATAATAGTTGTGATAAATCTGATTTATTAATTAAAAAATTTAAAAAGAATGATGACGAAAATTAATTTTTAATGGGTATTTAGTATTTTCTCTAGTCAACTTTAATTATTTTTTTTTCTATTTAAAAATAATTTATTTTTCTCAAAAATTTTAATAAATTAAAATAAATTAAAATTAAATATAAAATATATTTTAATTTAATGTTGCCTTTTTCTAAAAACACTTGTCATATTCAAAGCACTACTGCTATTATTATTATTTCCATTATTTTTCTTATTTCCTTGAATTTCTGCCTCATGATCTTCATCTATATTTCCTTCTTCACTTAAATTATTTGATTGTTCTAATGATTCTTTTTCTTTACTTTCTCCCTCTTCTTTTTCCTCTTCTTTACTTTCCTCAGATTCAGCTTCTTTAACAAAAATTTTTTAATTAAAATTTTAAATAAAAATATATTCTTTTTTTACCTTCACTAACAGATTTTGTAAGTGTATTGCTGTGTTTAACTGGTTTAACTACAAATTCTTCTTTAATTTTTTGATTTTTTATTTTATATGAGGGAGTAGTTGTTGTAGTAATTAATTCCTTTTCTTCCTCTGTTTTTATTGTTTTTGTAGTTTTAAAATTTAATGGAGATATTGAAGGTGAATAACCTTCTGTTGATGTTCTTTCAAAATTATAACCAAAAGTTGTCGAAAAATTATTTAAAATTTCTTTCCCTCCTCCATAAATATCTTCATTTACTGAATGTATTTCATAACTTACGGGAGAAATTGAAGGGGTAGAATAAGGAGGAGGAGAAGGCTCTACTAAATTATTATATCCTTCTTTAGCTTCTTTTTTTAAACAAACATCTAATAGAAAATTTATTTTATTTTAATTTTTAAATTATTAAATACCCCTACCTTCATTCTCCTTTTCACTACCAATTTTATAATTAACCCTTCCATGTTTTGGAGTTGCATAAACCAAAATATATCTAGAAATTTAAATATATTTATTTAAAAATAATTAATTAATTATTACCGTCCATCTCTGTGTATTTTACAAATTTGGTTACTCCAAAAATGACTTTTACTAGCAAAATCACTAATAGCAGTAATTACTTCAAACGTTGTATTAAATTTTGCTTCAGTCAAAGCTTGAACTCTATTTGTTATTTTTTGAAGATTACTTCTAAAAATATTTAAATCCAATTAAATTCATAATTATTTACCTAAGAAATATATCCTCTCCCTTTTCTTGAAGCAATCCTTTATAAGCATCTCTCATCGTGTCTTCAAGCTAGAACAATTAATAATAATAATTATAAAGTAATAAACTTAACCTTAGAATTACAACACATCATTTTATCATCATTAGTATAACATTCTGGAAGGGGATAACGAATATTTCCAAATTCTGGTGATTTTGGTCTTGTTGAAGTCCGTGCCGTCGTTGTTGGGGGAGGAAGCGGAGTTTGTTGAACTGGAGGAGGTTGAACTGGCGGTGGAGCTTGTTGGGCTGGAGGAGGTTGGACTGGCGGCAAAACTTGTTGTGCTGGAGGAGGTTGGACTGGAGGGGGAACTTGTTCTTGCGGGGGAAATGGTGGTTCTAAAAAGGAAAAACTTCTCTTTATATTCAATAAATATAACCGAATGGCTGTTCTCCAGGCGCATATGGAAGTGGCTCTTCGTATGGAGATTGATAGTCAGAAGGATTGAAGTCTGAAGGTGATTCTCCAGCCGAGGATGACTGTGATTGTGCTTGTGACTGAGATTGGGATTGAGATTGGGATTGCGACTGAGATTGAGACTGTGACTGAGATTGTGACTGTGACTGGGATTGTGACTGCGATTGTGATTGTGATTGAAATTGTGATTCAGACTGAAATTGTTGTGGTTGCTGTTCAAATTCTGGCTGGGGCTCTGGTAAAAATTGTTCTTGAAACGGTTGCTGGTTGAATTGCTCAAATTGTTGAGGTTGTACTGGTTGGAAGTTTGCCGCTGGCCCTCCAGATGGAGCTGGAGGAAATAATAAAGGGGGAACAAAAGGAAAGCCAACTCTTTTCTTCCTTTTAATTATTTGATCGGTCGAGTTAAAAATGTAGTAGAGAAATTTGGCATTTTTAATTTCTGAAATAATTTAAAGATTTTTAAGGAAATTTGTAAATATTTTTTTTTATTTTATTTAGCACTAGAAAGGACTACTAATAATTTTAATAAAAATTTTTTATATTTATTTATTATTACTAGTATCAAACCTGTAGAATTTTTCTGTTTAGAAATTCCATATAAATTTAAAAATAAATATAAAAATAATAAATATTTAAAATAAAACATTTATTTATTTAAAATAAAAGTAAAAAAGAATTTAACAAAAATAAATGAAGAAATTAGAAAGCATTAATTTTGTTTTATATGTTAACACACATTAGCTAAATAAATTAGTATTTATTAGGTAATAGCCTCCTTCCTCATTAGGTAACAAATCCAAATTTTACTTTTACACAAATTATCCTTAATCTTTTTCAAAAAAAGAGAGTTTTTGCCTAGAAAATATTTTATTTTTGGATTAATTCTTTTTTCTCTTTTTTTTTTCTTAAAAATATATTTTTAAATCTCATCATAATATTAAAAATAAATATTTAATTAAAATTAAAATTATTTATAACAAGTTTTTTTAAATAATGTTTTTTTTCTTTTCGTTTATTTTTTATGCCTCAATAAATTAAATAATTAATTATTTTGGAAACATTTATGTTAGTAATCTCTTTTTTTCTTTCTTTTTTCTTGTCAATACCTTCGAATTAGCCAAAATAAAATTAATGAAAGGGAACAAAAAAATATATATTTATTAGCCAGATAAAATATTTTAAATTAATTTAATTTGAGAACCTAATGAAAATTCGTTTGAAATTCGTTTTTAAATGAAAATTCGTTTTGACCGTGTAAAGGATTAAAACAAATGATTATATTTATCTTGTAAAAACTCAGCTCATCGAACTCTCTTGAAAGAGTCTGGAAAGTATGGGGGGGGGGGGATAATTGACATTTAATTGAATTTAAAGATAAAATACTAAATATTTAAAAGTTAAATTAAAAAAGTTAATGTTATTATTATTTACAAGTTATAATAAAATTAAATAAATAAAATAATAATTATAGACAAATTAATTCACATATTTTTATTTATTTTTTATTTAATAGCAATTAATTTTTTATTTAAAATATTTCCATTCGTTTTTCTTTTTCCATGAATTATTGCCTCATGATCTTCATCATCTTTATTATTATCTGTTTTTTCTGATGATTCTTCTACATCCTCATCCTCTTTTACATTTCTTTCATTTGAATATTCTTTTTTTAAAGAAATTATTTAAAAATTAATTTTTAAATAAAATAAATATTTAAATATACTAGAGTTTAAAGTTAGCAAAATTCCAAATCCGGTCCGGGTGTAACTCTAGTAAATACCTTTATTATTTAAAGAAGTTGGAGGGGTTTGTTGTTCTATTGGAGCTGCAACAATTTCCTCATTTTTTGTGTCATAAGCAAAAGTAGTTGTTGTTAATGTTCCATAAATATCTTCATTTTTATCAGTTTTTGAAGAGGAGGAAGAAGGGGAAAATCCATTTAAATTATTTAATTCCTCATTTCCTTTATTATTATTTTCTCCAAATCTTTTAATGTTATTTTCTTCATCAGAAGGGTTATTCCCCTTTTTTCCAAATTTTTGCAATTTATTTTCAATACTTTTACTATGTTTAATCATTTCATTTAATGATAATCCTAAAATAATTTTTTTTTAAATATTAAAAAAATTCTTTACTTATCCTTTATGCCTAACCCCCTCTATTATTCTCAATTTTAGGTGATAACAAAAAAAAGTTGAGTCGATCGGACAAAAATTAGCGAGATTGGACAAATTTCAACAGGCAAATTTCAACTTTGACCGACATAAATTTTCTGAAACTTGCAGATTCCATTAAAAATTAAAGAGTGTTGCATAAAGGATAAGTACCGATTCTTCATATATACCCGTCTCTCCTTCAACATTTGATGGAATGGAATCTCTATCATGTTTTGGAGTTGCATAAACCAAAATAACTCTTTTTATATGTTAATTTATAATATATTAAATTATTTTAATTAATATAATACCTTCCTTCTCTATGTATTTTACAAATATAATTTTGAAAAAAATGGCTTTTACTAGCAAAATCGCTAATTCCGGTAATTACTTCAAAATTTGTTTTAAATTTTGCTTCAGACATTTCTTGAATTTTATTGGCCATCATTTGAAGATTACATCTGAAAATTAAAAATAAAATTAATATTTGTATTTAGTAAGAGATTTATAAATTGCCTATCGTCTTGGTTATTGGGGCGCTGCTTTAAGTTTTCTTCGTTAATAGACCTTGAACCTCTGCCTAAACATTTTAAATGCTAACACAAGGTGGATCTCCATTCTTTTTCCTTACAATTTACCTGTGAAATGTTGAATTTCCCTTTTCACGAATTAGAGTTTTATAAGCGTCTTTCATTGTATCCTCCAACTAAATTAAAGAAAAAATTAAATAAATATATTTAAATTTAAATACTTCAGGATTACAACACATCATTTTATCATCATTTGTATAACATTCTGGAAGAGGATAACGAAGAAGACCATTACGAGCACAAATAGCAGCAGCTGATTCTGTTGTTGGTGTTGGAAGAGTAGTGGATGGTGGGGATGTTATTTCCGGAGGTGGTGGAGAAGGTGGTTCAATTGTAGGAGGTTGGATTGGTTCAACTTCTAGTGGAGGGGGTATTGTAGTTATTGGAGGTTCTAAATTGTTTAATTAATATTTTAAACAGTAAATATATATTTATAACCAAATGGTTGTTCCTCGGGTTGAGGTGGCGGTGGAGGGGGTTCTTGGTTTTCGGGCGAAGGTGGTGGGAAAGCTAAAGGTGGTTCACCAGCCGGTTCAGGTTGAACTTGTTCTGGTTGAAATTGTTCTTGAGTTTGTGGTTCTTGTTGAGGTTGTGCTTCGGGTTCCTGTTGAGGCTGTGGTTGTTCTTGAGGTTGTTCTTGGAAAGTTTCTTGAGGTTGTTCTTGGAAAGTCTGCTGAGGTTGTTCTTGGAAATTCTGCTGAGGTTGTTCTTGGAAAGTTTGTTGATTAGATTCTTGATATTGTGGCTGCTCTGGTTGATTATTACTTAAAAAAATATTTCTAATTATAATTATTTACACATATTTATTAATTTAATATAAATTAGTACTTACTAATCGTTACCAACAGGTTGAGGTTCTTGGAACGATTGTTGAACTGGCGGACTTAAAAGAAATTTTTATATAGAGAATTTTTAAAAATTTTATGAGAATTAATTTAAAAGAAAAATTTTTAATTTTATTAATTTTTTTATTAAAAAAATATTTATTAAATATTTACAAATTAGCCTGTGCAGGTACAGGTGCCTGTGCAGGTACAGATGCCTGTACAGGTACAGGGACAGGTGCTGGAGGGAACAATATAAGTGGTGGTGCAACCATAGGGAAACCACTTCTTTTCCATCGTCTAAAAATCTGTTCCGCAGAGTTGAATAAATTATGGACAGATTTATTCTTTTTAATTTCTAAAATTTTACATCAGATGTTTTTTAAAGTTTTTTAAATTTTTTCTTTGATTACAAATTATATTTTCCAATAAATATTTAGAATTTAATCAAATGTAATTTAATTTTTTAGTTTTTTAATAAATTTAAAAAATTATTTAAAATTATAAACTCGAATATTCTCTCAACACAATTTTTATTAAAATTACTAAAATTTATATTTATTTTGGATTAAATTAAATATTTCTTTAATTTTCGAAAATTATTTTAAATTAATAACCTGAATTATTTTGATTAGAAATACTTGATTGTTTTATAAATAAATACAAAAATAGTAAAAATTTGGAGGAATACATTAAAGATATTCTTAATTTTATTAAAAAACTTAATGAAAGTTATTGTAAATAATTAAATATATTTATATATTATTTGATAAAAGGATGCTGTTTAATTTTTATAAAGCAAAAACAATTTTAATTAATTAACTTAAAAATTGTTGGAGTTCCTTTTAAAGGATTTAATAATTGTAATTAAATAACAACAAGTTTCTCTACTTATTTTTAAAAACTTTTATTTTTTTCTATCCAATTTATTATTACGCATCAATAAATAAATTTTAGAGATTTATTTTCTAACCCTTAGTTAATCCTTTTAAATTAAAGTTGGCGGATATAATAAAATCTCTTTCTTGAATATTCTATTTATTTGGATGTGCTCTTATAAAATTATTAAATAAAAAATATATTTCCGAAGAATTATTAAATAAACAAATTTAAATATAAAAAAGTAAAACGAAATTATCTAAAAAATTATATTCAAGAATTTATAATCTTTATCTTTTTTTATCTTTAATTATTATCGAAAGCCCATTAAAAACATTTGGTTATCTTCGTTTTTCATTCTATTTAGGGGAAAAGGTGTCCGTCTAACTGTCATTTACATACTTAGCCAAAAAAATTTTCTAAGGCCAAATTTTTGTTATTTTTTTACAAATCCCATTAAAGAATTTCCTTTTAAACTTGTCTACCATAAATCTTGCTAAAATAATTTTCCAAATGATGACGTGCATTCCTCTATATTCTCTTTATTTAATAGAGCCTCATAAACGCTCGGTTTTGAGTGTTTTGTTGCATTTTGGGATTAATAAAATTGAAATGGTGGTTAACAGTGAAAATGACGCCTCTCGTATTGGCTTCCATTTTAAATTAATTTAATCTTTTACTATTATCTGCCTAGAGGAGAGATATTATTTTTTGACATTATTTTTTTGCAATAAATATAGTACAAATATATACTATGGAACTGTCTAAGACCAAAAACTTCCAAGAACTCGATACCAATATTTAACTCTCAAAGACTAAATTATTTAATATTTCAGACCAAATTAAAACAAAAAAATTCTTTTACATTTTTTAAATATTCATTTTGAAATTTGATATGATTTATTCTGACTTAAAGCTGATTTAAAGCTATTTCATCAAAATATATTTGGGAAAATTAAAATTAACCATAATAATTCCTATATGATAAAACAAACAAAAACTAGGGGCGAAAAATATAAAATACAACCAACACGTTGTTCAACCATGATTCGGTACAATTCCTTTTTTGTTCGAACTGCTAGAATTTATTCACTAATTCCTATAGAAATTAGAAAAAATACACCCAAGATGTTTTCTAAACTTCTTGCACAGTTGGATATTTCCAACATCTTAAATGACAAATGATATAATTCAGGGCTCGGATCGACAAAATGCCAATAAAAAGTACAAAAATCTTGATTTTAAAGTACATAGGGGCAAAATTTCCACATTTAAAGTACACTTAAAATTAAATTAGAAAATATTTATTCGTGCTCAAATCTTTTATATTTCTCTCTTAAATTAATCTTTTCTAATAATTTCTTGTTTCAACTTAGCATTTTATCAATTTCAATGCATCTTTTTTTTTGGGCCGAAGGCGCCAAAAAATTTATTTTTTGCGCCGCAGGCGAAAATTTTGAGAATTTTGGAGGTCCTTAAGCCAGATTTCTTCCATTTTTTGCGCCGCAGGCGAAAATTTTGAGAATTTTGGAGGTCCTTAAGCCAGATTTCTTCCATTTTTTTCAAAATGTTGATTTTAAAGTACATACTTTCAATAAAGTACAAATTCAATTTCGTAAGTACGGAGGTCGATTTTAAAGTACTGTACTTTCAAATAAAGTACGAATCCGTACTTTAAAGTACGAATCCGTACTTTTAAAGTACGAATTTAAAAAACCCGACAACCGGCTCTTTTTCAAGTTTATCTAAAGAAGTATTCTTACTCGACAAAAATACTTATAAACGTATTTATGCAAGAAGGAGAGTTGTTAGAATGTTAATTGGATGTGTTGCTGTACAGGTATAATTAATTGAAAATATAAATAAATAAAAATATTAATTTTTAAAGTTACTTTGTTATTCACCAATTCAAGCAATTTTCTTGGCAAAGTAATTTAAAATAATTAAAAACAAAAAATATTTAAAAAAAAGGTCTCTCTTTAATTTAACATTTTTCATCCCTTATGGACTTGTTCTTCTATTAAATGCTTTAACATTAGCTTGTTCAGCAGCAAATCCTCTATTATATACTTTATGTTCAAGCAATTTCCGTGACAGAATTAAAGAATTAATTTTAAAAGAAACTAAACAAGATTTACATCCAACATCTTTTAAAATTGCTGTTGCAAATAGAAAATATATTAAAAATAATAAAGAAAATGAAAGAATGTTTTTAGAAGAGAAAGAAAAAGTTTTAAATACATAATTGTTAAAAAATATATTGTTTTTTAAATAAATTTTTGGAATTATTTTGTTTTTTTAGATACTCTTACCTTTTAATAAATTGTTATTAAATATCTAGTATGTATATCGAATACTCGGAGGGACAGACGAATCGAGTTAGCATTAATTACTTGAGGGAAACATAGTACAAATAATTAATTGTTAACTAACAAAATATTCACTTAACTATTTATTGAATTCGGGAGAAATTCTTTCTCTCAAAAGAAATTATTTAAATATTTATTTAAAAAATCAAAGTTTGACAGATTTATTAAAATCTTTTTCTTTAAAAATACTTTTCCCTCATTCCTTTCCATGCATTTTATTCTCTTTTCTACATATCCCTTTTCACTCAATTCTAGTATTTCCACCTACCTCCATCCAAAATAATTCCCAACCGGCAAAAATATCGACCCAGCTCTGGTCATTGCTGCCACCCTTTTGCTTTTTATTTTTCTAATAAAAAGGCGAAAACAAATTTAAAAAAAATAATGGAGAAAAATATTTAAACTTTGCGCGATTATACAAAAACTTGAAAAAATAATAATTTAAAATAAATTTTTTTTGTTTTCTTAAGAATATATTTAAATTTAAATATTTACATACATAAATTTTAGGTAAGATATTTTGTTGTAAATAATTATTTAATTTATTAAACCAACTCCAAAATTTATTATTTCTAACCATTATTATGAAATTATTAAAAAATTATTTTAATTTAAAGGTAATAATGTATTATCACAATTTCAATAATTTTTTAATTATCCAATTAAAATTTTTAAAAACAATCAAATATGCTTTTTATTTCATTTATTCATTTAATAATTCCTTCAACAAAAATAAATAATAATAATATTTTAATTAATTTAATTAATTTATTTTTAATTTTACAAATTTTTTATCTTCTTTGGAAAATCCTTCTCATTCTTTTTTTATTTTTTATTAAAATTTACAATTTATTAAATAAACAACAAATTGTAATTAAAATTATTATTTTGAAAAATGACAAAAAATTAAAAAGAGAAAGGAAATTTGTTGAGGTTGAATTTATTTAAATAATTAAATATTTTTTAAAAATTATTTTTTTATTTCCCCCTTTTTTATTTATTTAAAATCTTATATTTTTTAATAATCTTCTTTATTATTATTTTCTAATTAATTTAAACAAAAAAACTAAAAATAAATACAAAACTTTTACTTTACTAATTTTTTGCAACTGTTTGCAATAAATATATATTTAAATATAAAATTGTCATAGCAACCAAAATGGCCGAGAAAAATGGCCAAAAAAGTGCGCGAATCTTTCGTTTTTCCTTCTTAATTTTTCTTTGAAATGGCCATTCTTTCCTTTTTAAATTTTTATTTTACTTTTAAGTCCTCTTCTTTTAATATTTTTAAAAATTTTAAATAAATTTAAATTTAATGCTCACAATTTAAAATAAAATTTTTTTGTTTTTTCCTAGCAATTTATTTAAATTTAAATATTTTTTCTTGGAAATATAATTATAGTGGGAATAAAATAAATTTATCTATAATTTTCCCATTTTCTTTTCAATTTAAAAATTATTTTCTCCAAATAGTACTTTGAAAACCCGGATGCCCCTTCCTTTGCTAATTGCAATTGCTGCCAACCGAGGCAACGGCGGATGTTGTTATTTACGCCTTCTGTCGCAGCCGCATTCTGTTTAGTTTATAATAAACGAAAAAAGGTAGTTTTAAATTTAAAAAATATTTTTTCATCTTCTCATTTAAAAATAGAATAGTTTAAAATAATTTTTTTAATTTAAAATAGTTTACTCAATAAATTAAATTAAAATTAAAAAACATAATTTTTAACTTTAATTAAATTTCTCATTTTTCCCCAGTATCACAAACCTCTATCATTAAAAGGAAGAGGTATGTCTGTGCCTAGTTTATATTTTGGTGAAGAAAATGAAGAAATGGAGACATCCGGTGCTTTAAATGAAAATATTCCCCAACAATCCTCCCTCGTTGATTTACATCAAATTCCCGGTGAACTTTGGCTAACTCGCAGAAGAATTGAGGCTGGAGTTAGAGAACAAAGAAAGCAAAGAGAAATGTTAACAAATGTTCAGGAAAGATTGGCACAATGCCGATTAGAAAGAACAAAACAATCAAAATTTGAAAGAAGAATTACTAGTCCATTTCGTTTGCCACGTAGTCACTCACCTCCAAATTCTTCTGAAAGATTGTTTGTAGTTTTTATTATTTTTTTATAAATTCAAGAAAAATTCTTTTAACTTATAAAATATTTTTAAAATTTAATTAGGACTTAATAACGATTAAAAAGTTTCTAAATTTTTTAATAATTATTTTAGTGCCCCAACATGTCATCTTCCCGACAGACCCAGTACTTCCCATAAAAGACAACAAAGTAGTACATTTGCCATAACTACTGGAGATGAATTTTCAAGGAATATATTTAATGAAGATGAAAGTATTAATATACCAGAAAGACAATTTAGGTAAAAAAAGAAATAATTATTTAATTAAAATTATTTAAAAATTAGAAATCGTTTAACTGCATTAGAGCAACAAATGGAACGTTTAAATTTATTTACTGCTCAATCACTTTCCTCAAAATTAGAAGAAGAAAATTTTTTTCAAGAAAAAACTAAAAAAGAATTAATTATTAAAAGAAAAACAAAAGAATTAATTGAAGAATTTGCTAAATTAAAAAGAAAAATTAATCAATTGAGAGAAAATACTAAATTGGAATTAAAAGAGGTTAATTCTGAATTTGGAGAAAGAATGGATGCATTAATGAGACAATTAAAAAGAGAAATTATTTTGGTAAATTTGGGGGGGGGGGGGGATGAATTGAATAAAAATTAATTTAAAATTAAATATTTAATTAAAATATACCTAATAAATTATTTAGTTAAATTAAATTTTAGTTAAATTATAAAAATACATATTACATTTATAGAAACGCCGAACTTTTACTGAGGAATTTGAAAAGTCAAAAAAGAATGAAATTAATATTTTGCGCGCAGAAAATCAAAAAGTAAATATGTTAAAATTTATTTATTTATTTAATCTTCTTTAAAATTTAATTTTCTGTTAGTTAATAATTTAACATTAAATTAATATTTTTAGTTAATTTCCTCCTATGAAGATGCAGAAACTCGAGCAGAATTATCAGAAAATCGTTTAAAAGAAATATTCGAAAAAATATGGGCAATTCCATCTTTAAATAATGAAAATATTGAAAATTCTTTTTCTTCAATTTCTTTTAATAATTACCTCCCTTCTATGGATAATTTAATAATTGCTATACGTTTATCAATTGACCGGGCATCTTCTTCTTCTTTAGAGGCATATCGAGCAAAAGCAAGAGAAGAATTAACGAATGAACGATTAAAAAATGAAAGAGAATTGAAAAATATTGAAAGGTTTAGTGGAAAAAATAATTAAAATAAAATTAATAAAATTTAAATATTTTCAATTTAGAGAAGCAAAACTCCAATTAGAACGCCGAGAGTCTGAATGGGCTGCTGAACGTCTCGAGCTTTTAACTGAATTAGAAAATGAAAGAGCTAATAAATCTATTGAGAGTGAAAAAATAGAAGCTAAAAGGGTAGAAATGGATAAATCACAATTAAGAATTCAGAGTTTGGAGGAGGTAAAAATAATAAAGGAGTTGAATAAAAAATTATTTTTAATTTTTATTATTTTAATTTAAAATATTTTAATTTAAATTATTGTTAACTTTTATTTCAATTACATTCTATTTTTCAAAAAATTATTTTCATTTTTAAGCAATTAAATCGTCTCTCAACAGAATTGGCTGCTGAAAGAAATAAATATTTAACAGAATTAATTGAAAACAATGAAAGATTCCAAACAGAAATTACCGAATATCAAACAACTATTGTCGATTTAGAGGAACAATTATTTGCTGAACAAAAAGAACGTCAAACAATTAAAGAATTAACAAATGAATTAAAAGAAGCAAAGAATGCATTAAATGAGTAAGTTTTGACAGTTTACATAAATAGTACATTATTCGACAAAACACTTTAAATAATTCACGTAGGGGTCAACTCAGAATACTAACACACTAAGCATATCGGTACTTTATGGATATGTCACCCCCCCCCCTCCTATTTTGAGTCTCAGAGTTTTCCTTAAACGTAGAAAATGGTCAGAGATATTTTCTTTTCCATGTCAATCATTTTTCTTTCTTCAAGCAAAATAAGTGAAATTTTGTAAATGTAGAAACGAAATGAGTGAAATGTAAGTACAAAATATGTGAAAAGGCAAAATAAACAAGCAAAATACTTGAAGAAGAAAAAAATGATTGACATGGAGAAGAAAATAATCTCTGACCATTTTCTACGTTTAAGGAAAACTCTGAGACTCAAAATAGGAGGGGGTGACATATCCATAAAGTACCAGCATATCTATGTATTCTATAATTAAATTATAAATTTTATATAATTAAAAATTTTTATTAGAGAATTGCTTGCAGCTTCAACACGTTTATCTAATGTAGAAACCCAATTAGGCATTGCTCTACAAAATACAGAGGAGATAACTACAAAACTTCGTAGAGAAGGACGGGATTTGGCTATGAAACTTGTAGATACTGAAGCAGAAATTGAAACACTTAAAGGTAATTTTAATTTTTTTAAACGTTAAATAATTAATTAAATTTTTGGAGAATAATTTATTTATTTATTACTTTTTTCACTCTCTTAATATTTTTAAATTTATATGTATTTTAACAATTATATTTATTTAATTTTAAACAGAACAATTAAAAACATCTGAAAAACGATTAAAAAAAGAAAGAGATGAATGGCATGCAGATATTGAACGTGCAGACAAAGATTGGAAAGCACAAAGTAAATTACTTACAAAAGCAGAAACACAAAAAGTAAAGAAAAATATTTTTAAAAATTAATTTTTTAATTTATATTTTACAGAAAGAATTAATTAAAGAATTAAATATAGCTAATTCTAAATTAAATGAAATTGAACTTAAATTGGAATCTCGAATTAAAAAAGAACAAACTTTACGTACAGAATTAATTAAAGTAAAAGAAGAATTGGCAGAAGAGAGAATTCAGGCAGAAAATGTTTTTGAGGAGAAAGAAAAGGAATTTAAAAAAGAAATGGAAAGGTATTTAGGGGGGAGGAGGATATTTAAAAAATATTTGTTTTTTGAAGATTAAAATTTGAATTAAATGAACGTTTAAATGAATTAACATTAGCAATTGAAAAAGAAGCAGAATTAACTGTTAAACTTGAAGATGCTGAACACAGACTTACTAAAGCGAGTGAATTATGTAAAAGATTAACTAAAGAACTGGATGAACTTAGGTAAATTAATTGGGGAAGGTGTTCTTAAATTTTTAAAATAATTTTTAAGTGAAAAAAGTTTTGTTCAAACTACCTCAACAGAAAAATTGTTAGCCGATTTGGATGAGGCAAAAGGGGAAATAATTATTTATAAAGGTTCTTTAGAAGAACAAAAACGTCGAAATATTCAATTAGAAACAGAAATTAGACAATTAGAAAAAGGTTTTAGAAAGAAATTAAATTTAAAAAAATTATTATTTATTTAAAGAATGTGTCAGAAATGAAAATATTTTTGAAAAATGGAAAAATAAAGAAGAAAAACAAAAATTAAATATTAAAGAAGATTTAAATTCTCTTGAAATTTTAATTAAAAATTGGGAAGAAAAAATATTTGGAAATTTATTAAAAAATGAAGATAAATTGACAAAAAGAGTAAAAGAATTAATTGAAGAATTATTTAGACAAAATATTAAAAAAATAAATGAATTAGAAAATGGTAATAATTTAATTAAATTTAAATTAATTTAAAAATATTTTTAAAGAAAATGTTCTTTATTCAAATAAATTAATTTCTGAACAACAAAAAATAATTAGTAATTTAAAAGAGGAAATTTCTTTAAAAAATAATGAATTAAATAAACTTTTAAATTTATTTGAAAAATCAAAAAATGAAAAAGAAATTAAATTAAATGAAGAATATTCTGAAGCTGAAAGGGATTGGCTAAAAAGAAAAAGAATTTTGGAAAGACGTTTAGAAGAATTGGAACAAACTTTGAATATTGAGAGAACTGAAAATATTAAAGAAATTGAAAAGGTAAAGTTTTTAATTAAATATTAAATTGTTATTTTTAAGAAAATATGTAGTTGTTTTGTAAAAAGTATTTTATTAAGTAGTATTTCTAGCACAAAAATAAAGCACTTTTATTATATTTAAATTAAATTATTAATTAATTATAATTTTTATTAGTATAGATTTTTAGTTTTCGTTTCAGATTTTCTTATATTTTTATCAAAAAAAAATTTATTTATTAGAATAATTCAACATCAACACATTTTCCAGTTAACATTTCGTCAAATAATATACAAATAGAAATTAATAAAAATATATTTGAAACTACAACAAAATATTATAGAGAATATTATGAAATTAAAGAAGAATTAATTAAATGTATATTTTTGTAATTTGGTGTTGGTCTCAAATTTTTTTTAATTTTTATTTAGTTTTTGGTTTTCACAAATGCACTTTTTATTTAATTTAAAATTAATTTTAAATCAAACAATTTTAGTTAAAAAGGGAATTAAAAGAAGAGCAAAATAATAATAAAATTAAAAAAAATATTGAAGAATTATTTTCAATAAAATTTAAAACAAAATCGACAATGACTACTGATTTTAAAGAAGAAATTAAATTAAAAGAAAATAATAAACAAATAGATAATTTTAAATTTGAAAATATTTCTTTAATTAAAAAATTGGAAATTGCAGAAAAAGTAGGGGAAAGAAACAAATAATTTTCATAAAATTTTAATTTTTAGAGAGAATTAGAAGCTAAAATGTTGGAAGGGAAATTACGTTCGGAATTACACGAACTTCGTCTACAATGGAGGCAATCAGTTAAAGAATTAGAAGTTTTACAAAAAGAATTGCGAGAATGTAAAATTTCTCGACAAGAAATCGAAAGCCAATTAAAAAGATTTGAACGAGAAATAATTAAATATAAAGGACAAATTGAGGCTGTAAGTTTGTTAAAAGGAGAAATAAAAAATATTAAGTATTTTTCTGTGATGCCACATGTTAAATATTTTAATAAAAATTTTTTAGACTTCAAAATAAAATTTAAGAAAATATTAGAAAATATTCCTAAAAATTTTTTAAGCTTGAAATGGATCGCCATCGTGTCGATGCAATAATAAAACAAACAACATTAGAAAGAAATGCTTTAAATAAATCATTAAATACAATGGAACGTGAAAATTCTGAATTACAAAAATATTGTCGCTCTTTGCAATCTCAAGTTGAACGTTTAGAACAAGATGGAGATGAAAGAGCAGGACAATTATTTAAAAGAAAAATAATTAATTTAGAGACAGAATTAACTAAAATTGGACAACAAAAGAAACAAGTAAATTAATTAATTAAAAAATAAAAATTTAAATTTTTAAGCTTGAAAATCTTCTTGTCCAAAAAGAAAGCAGTAAACTCCATTAATATGTACTAATTTAAAAACCTATTGTTTTTTTTAATTTTTACTTCTCAGAATTCCTTTTTATTGTTAACAAATTTTGTTCAAAAACTGCCATTTAAATTTTTTATAAAATAAATAAATTATTAAATTCTTAATGAATTTAATTAACATTATTAATGAGTTAAATTTAAAATGAAAATAACATTTAATATTCTAACATAGAAAATGAAAGAAAACAATGTTTAATTCAGGATTTTTAATTTTTTACTAATTTAAAAATTAAAAATCGGCGTCTTGGAAAATTAGATGGTTCTTACATGTATAATCGGCGAATGACGAAAGGCGAAACTGGCTTAATTTGAAATTATTTTCAAAATATTTCTTAATTTGAAAATAATTTCTAAAAAATACATAGTATACATAAATTATTTCAGGGCATTTTCCCAAGACATTCAAATTTATAATGGGGCGGACATTTATGATAACTTGCTGTCCAGCTATTTAAATATAATTTTTTCCATGATTCCTCATTTATTTTCATAAAATAAGTATCTTATAATTTTATTTAGCATAAAAAATAATGTTTACTAAAATTTCTTTAGCAATTTCTATCATCTTCATTCTATTTTCTTTGGTAGAAGCTGATAAGGTGAAATATTTTATTTAAAATTTATTTATTTTTTAAATTTAGATTCAACTTTGTAGCTGTTCCGACGCCGAACAGTGTGCTATTAAGGCTACTAATCATCTAAATGGGACATGTAAAGAGGAATGTGCTCATTTGTTAAATGAATACAAAGAAAATGGGAAAACTAATTTAATTGAATTAACAAATTGTTTTTGGAAAGAGGAGAAAGATAAAGAAAGTGGAGCTCTTAAAAGGGGTGTTAAATTAACAAAGTGTTTGAACAAAAGGATTCCAAATTAGTTTGAAAATATATTTTATTTTAATTGGAGGTTATTCCTCGAAATTTTTGTGAGCATTTAGAGTTGGAGAGGGATAACCGACAAGTACTAAAAAAATTATTTTTAATTTTAAAGTTGTTCTAATAACGAAACACTTTTTCTTCAATCCTCTCCCGACTACAATAAATGGTTAGAACAATTAACGGGAAATTCTTCAATTGAACATTTACCACACCAAGGATCTTTCATTCGCCGTGCGAGGGCAGCATTTCTTATTTTTCTAAATTTTCAAAAATGTATGAACAATTGCGCAAAACGTCATTCTATTGAATGTTTTAAAAAAGGAGAGTAAGAAAGAAAGGAGAAATAAAAAGAATTAAATTTGTTGAATTTACAGATGTGCAATTTCACTTCCTCTTGACAATTCAAATGCTCTAAAAATTTACAATGAATGCACAAAACAAAATGCAAATCGAGATGCACACGATTCATGTCGCTGTCTTATCAAAAATTATCGGGCTCGGTAAAAACATAGTAATTCATAAAAAATATTTGTTTCTGCTATTTTAGTCAACTTATTGGAATCTGCCCATTAATGGCTAACGCTCATTTGATGCGTAACATGCCTTGATGTGTCTTATTAAAAGAACGAGAAATAAATGAATACTGAAAGTTAAATGATTTGATAATTAATTTCGAAATTTAAAAATGAATAAAGCTTAAAAACCTTACTGCCATTTTTTGTGCAAAAAAACCTCTAATTTTATTACACCAAAAGAATTGTGTAAACGAATGCATGGGTATTTAATTTAGGCGATTCTGCCATATGCCTCGGAAACCGATTAGATATTTCAGGCTGTGAATCGTAAAAAGGAATAGGATTATGTTACTAGTGAAGAACAGGGATGAGCTGGGTCTAGAAAAACGTGTGTGGGATTTCGGATTGGGGTAATACCGCCCCTGAATTTTTTGATTGTTCTTGGTCAACGCTTTTTTGAATGATGGGAAGAGGTGAAATTTTGCAAACGCTAAATCTTTTGGAAGAAAGTTAAATAATAAAATCTCGTTTGGTAGCCATAAAAGAGAATTGAATATACTACAGGAGTATAAATATATTTGAGAATGTAAAGCACAATTTTATACTCGAGATAAGTTTAACAATACAATAAAGGAATATACATTCTAATTTATGTACATGCATAATTACCTAATCACATCTAAAGATAGGGATCAATTCCTACACATAGTACATCAACAGAATCAAGCATTATAGCACTCTTCTAAATATGCGAACTTTTTAAAAGTATTCCAGTTATTAATAATTACCCTCTAGGCCAACATCGCCATTATCAGTGCCGCCTTCGTTCTCCGCTTGCTGACGCCTTACTCTAGCTCTGATTACGTACTCCTCCTTTACCTTCACTCCGTCCTTAGCAGCCTCCGCCTTCGACTTTTCAACCATTTTCCTGAAACAAAAATATACATTTTAATCGTTCACACTATTTTCATACTTGATTATATCTGGAAACTCTTTGTTACCATTCTCTGAAAAAAATATTTATTGTTGGAGGCAATTTTTAATGTTTTTATTACCCTTATAATTGCGGTAGCTCACAGAAGCATCCACATTTGCCGGTGAAGAAATGTTAGGCTCATTCAGCATCGATATCACGGAAAGTAGAATACTGCGGACGCCATGAACAGGGTTCCAACGTTCTGCGGCAGACTAAAAAACAAACGAGATTTTTTAGTAAAATTCATGTTATATTACTTCTCCACTCAGCTTATCCTGGCCAGGCGGATGCAGGATGCTTATGCATACCCGTGGATTATCGAAGCGCATGGAAGTAGGCTCGAATGGATATCTGGGCGGGAACTTGAGCGTCTGCAAAAATGTTATTGAATTATGTAGAAGCGACAAAGGTAACTAACTGCCTTGAAGTAGCCTCCCTGTAAAATTAAAAATTACAATATACTTTCAAAAACGAGTATTGTAAAGGACGTTCCAGGCGCACAAATATGGCAACCTTCCATATGAAGATATTTTCGGCAGCAGAATAAACTTTGATCCCCCGATTGGATTATCAGTCACATCAACAAGCTCCTGTTGCAGACGACGGAGAGCATTTGGAGGAGAATTGCTTAGTTGTTTCGCAGCGAAGTAATATTCTTTCATATAAAAGCAAGAGATGAATGAACAAATCTAAACTTCAATTCGTCATTAGCGCCTAAAACGACATCATTGGCACAGCAATCTCACATGGCTGGCGAGCTGCACTCTCACATGGCTGGCGAGCTGCACTCTCACATGGCTGGAGTATCCTTGTTGGACAAGCAATATACCTGCGAACGTCAACTGGTTCCTTCGCCCCTAAAGATGGTAAGCGGTAGTCCTGCTCAGGCTTCAGAAACTCGTCAATGCGAAGTTGAACTGTTCGTCATTCGGGTTCAACATGAGTTCACCAAAGTAAGTTTACTATACTTTTTTAAACTAAATAATTCGATTGATAAAATATTTTTACAGAAAGCTGTTTTGCCTCCATTGGATGTGTGGAAACGTGTCTTGGATCGTGGCTCATTCCGGTTTGCCTCATTGGATGTGACCATCAAGCGTCGTGGGCTGTTCGGGATTGAACGTGCGGTGTCCTATGGTATACATACATGTGTTCTGAGCAAGCAAGGTCATCTGGTCATCTATACGGACAATTGGAAGCACGAGGGCTTTACCATTAATCTGAGCAAGGCTGCAAGAGCGGAATTCAAATGCAAAACTCAGAAGGTAAAAATAAGAAAAGTAAATACAATTAAAAGTTGTAATATTTCCTTTAATTAACAGGTGTTTCTATCAACAACAACGCAAAGAATCTGCAATGTTCGTGTGAAATGGAACTTTGGCTCGGTAAAAATCCGTCTTCCGGAGTCGCTAGTCTTAGATTGGGGACGCGCGATACTTGAAGCTGTACGTGGCAGGGCTGAGGCTTCTTACGAATCTCATCATTGTTCACCGACTGTTCATTATCGACCCACTACTCCAATTCTCTTCGAAAATGGCACACAGACAGATTCTGTGTTTGAGGAGCAGGCAAGCATTCCCTTTTGAGCATGTTTAATGAATTATATTTCAGACTGTCACCTTCGATGGAAATGTTGGCGATATTGCTCCAGTTCCTTCTGTGCGTGCGCCTAAGTCCGGCGATGGAATATTCCAACTTCTTGATCCTGATGATTCCTTTGGTGAGTTGATATGTATTGTTAAATAATGTTTAATGATTTTATTTTTTAAGCATATCGTTCGGATGATGAATCTCTCCGTCTGGGCGAAATGTTTGGGAGCAATGATCAGAGCATAAACACCGCCAAAGAACAAGAGATGCAACCACATTCTGTTGAAAAGAAGGAAGATGTCGATCATGATGAGAATGAGGAGAAAATCGCGTTTCCTCTTGAAAAGGCGCTGTTGTTGAACTTCCCTTCAGAGAACAAAGAGCAACAGCAAGAAGACTACATTCCTGAAAGTGCCGTCATAAGCTCGGGTTCATTGCGACGACGTGTCACCTTCTCAGACCTGAACACTATCTTCGAGGCACCAGAGAATGAAGATCCAGTGGAAGAAGATGAAACTTCTGAATTGAAGCAAGACAACAACCGGAATGATGTGAAGGACGCAGAGGGAATTGAGGAGCGCAGAAAGGTGATAATTAAGTAGAAAAAATTATCTATATTTAATTTTTCTATAGGAACACATTGTCCAATTGGCGCTTGATCAAATGCGCATTGTTGGTCAACACGGAGTGAAGGAAACAACAACAGCTGAGGAGGTTTCCATCAAGGATGAGAACGGCAAAAACGCTAATGAGGATATACAGCATGAATCTGTGGCACTGCAACCTTGTGAGCAGATGACTAAGACCAACGATGGTGACAATTTCGTCTCGACGCAGCAACTGGCTCTCAAAATGCAATTTCCTTCACAATCTGAGCGCTTCGATCGAACTCGTTGTCTCTTCGAGCACGGTACTGGAGGTGTCAACACCGATGAGGAAGATGATAAAGAAACGAACAAACAATAGGAAGAGAAATAAAAGTTCGTCTATAAATAGGGTTATTGTATTCCCACAATGTTCTTTCACCTGACTTAATTTATCTGTATGTATATTTCTAATATTCACAAATATTTTTCTGATGATTATATTCAAATGTATAGAATGTAAAATAAAATATAAAATCGAGAAATTTGTTTTTTAAAATTAAATTTTTAAATCAACTCGATTACCTACTGGCAACCCTCAAAAATACCGAAAAACCACTCTTAATCATTTTTTATCGGGACCAATGTTAGCAAGATTACTTTTATCTCTAGCAATTTTTGAGTAAACATTTTATTATAAAAAAATAAATGATTATAATGACCAAAAAAATTTTCAAAAAAGCCAATTTCCAGAATAAAAACATCAAATAAAATACTCAACCCTCAAATATTACTTCCTTTTTCTCAATTTAAATCATTCAAGAATTTGAGTCAACAGTAAAATCCATTCCAGTTTGCCCACCACCAACACTAGCAGATTTTGAAAAAGAAAAGTTTAAATCGTCTAATTGTGAATTGTTTAACTAAAAAATGTTTAATTTTTTTCAAAAAAAGTCAAAAGGAAAATAACCTTTTCCCGCAGAATCATAAAAAGTGCACCCAAAACATTTTTGCCCTAAAATAAAAAAATATTTAAATTAAATAATAAAATTATAAAAACCTTTCCAATAACTGGAATATATTTAACATATTCTTCGGTCAAAGGGAACACCATTGGAAACTGAAAATAAAATTAATATATTACAAAATAATAAAGTAAAATTCCTTACCTTAAGTGAACCTTTATTCTTTTCAATTCCAGAACACCAATCTTTAACATATTTGGCAGGAGTGCCAGATCCGTAAAAATCGTCCCCACCAAAGCTTTGAACAAGAATTTTATCGCCTGTACTAGTCAAAGCATTTCGCATATCTTGACATTGGCGAAGTTTTTCAAGTATTGCTTTCTTTAAATTTTTTGAAATTAAAATATATTTTAGAATCAATTTATACCTGGATAACATCAAGTCCACGACCAGTACGCCAACTTTCCACATCAGATCGTTTAATCTAAAAATTTTATATTAAATCTTAAAAAGTTGAAAAATTCAATACCGACGCCTGACGCAACAATTCACGAGCCAAAGACGAATAATCACGAGTTGAACCATCAGTAAATTTTCCAGAAGAGATTCCAGTCAGATCTTTAACCTTTTGTTGTTGATAATATTGGTCAATACTTTTGTATGTTTCTCCATCAATAATAAAGTCAAACTAAAAAGGAAATTACAAGAAAAACTTAAATTTTAATACTCGATGCTGTAATGTAAAAATATTGGCATATCCATGGAAGCAAAAACAACTGTTGCTAGTAACAGAAATTTCTTTATGTGGAACATTGTCTGGGACAGGAGAATACTGAAAATATCAAAATATTTTGAAAAAGAAAAAAAATTACTGGATATTGAATATGTTGCCGGCGAACATTTCTTTGCTTCATTGGATATCGTTGCGTTCCATAACGTCCGCCTTGACCTGATCCGCCTCCACCACCCTTACGTCCTCCACCACTTCGAGCTCCGCCACTACCGCCACCACTACCTCCTCCGCCGCCACCAATAGCAGAAGAAAGCGGTTGTGGAGCAAATGCACCAAAGTCCTCATACACATTCATATGACCAGTATACCAAGGAGCAGCTGCAGCTCGAGCAACGGCTCTCTGATCAGCTAACGAAGTAGCATAACCTTCATTTCCAGCATATTCCCCAAAATTTCGAACAACACGGAAATTATCCATTTTTTAATTTTAAAGTCGTAGAAACGGTATAAATGAAATCAGATGAATGTTAACCTTTATAAAATAAGAATTTAGCACACAAAAACACAAAAAATATTAGAAAAGTCGGCATTTAGATAAAAATCTCAAAAGCATAAAATTAAAATCAATTATGCAAGAAAATCAATAAAGTAACGTAGTACAACGTTAAAAATTAAGAAGAGAAATATACAAATTGGCATTATATATTTAAATTGAAAAAACTTTTATTTAAATCATACTGTAATAAATGAAAGAAAATTTTATTTTTATAAATTTACGCGTCCTTATCTCTTTTATCTTTTATCAAGATTTTAACAATTAATTCATCGGAAAGATCCTCGAAAAAAAGCTTTAAACAAATCTTTTTCGATGCATTAGGAGTTGAGTGAGCTGATTCCAAATGTAAGCTATCTCGGACTATAATTTGACTGTCAAGTTTCTGACCCGTCTTATAGAGCTAGGTTGAACGATTTCAAAATTGATTCAACTCTTCTAAACGAAGTTATGGCACTTATTTTTATAAGGAAACTTTCTGATTATTTAATCTTCAATGCATTGATAAGAAATGCAACGCAAAAAAGGGCGGCCTGCTTTTGCCATAAGTCTTAATTCACATAAAGTTGCATCTCTCCCTAAAAATAAAATTTTTAAAAAAAATTTAAAAACAATAAAACAAACCACAGACAACAACTCTTCCATTTGTAAAATCTGCACAACAATTTAGTTCTGCTGTGATATTATTTTCTGTCCAAATACATTCTTTTTAAAATTTTAAAAATATTAAATTTGAAAACTTAAAAAATACTTCCATTATTAACATCCCATAAACGAATTGTTCTATCGTTGCTAACACTAAGCATTAAACGTTTTGATGTTATTTGTGGTTGAGATTGAAGAAATATTGCTGCTCTAACATCCTTTTTTAAACGAATAAAAATAATTTAATACAATTTTGTTTTACCTTTTCATGTCCACGAAATCGTTGAATTAAACTCCTTTGCCGAATGTCCCAATGCTAATTTTATTATTTTAAGAATGTAGAATTTATTTATTCACCTTAATTTCATTTCCATCCCCTCCTTCCGCTGTTAATAAAGCATTTGGTTCAAAATTTGCTAATCTACTACAATGCCATTTTGGTTGGTGACCACCCGAAGAAGGGATTGTTTCTATTAATGAAAGATTATTTATATCCCAAAATCTTATAGCTCCATCTTCAGCTGTTTGGAATAGAATTTTATTTTCGTTGTCAACTTCAATGTGTGTTATCTTTGGAGAAAGATACATTCTTGTATTTAATATTAATAAATTATTACAATATTTTGGCTATTAGATATATTTGAAGAACATATAGGTTGATTAGCATGTTCAATGTTCCACATAAATAATTTTCCATCACGAGCACCAGAAATAAAATTTTCTTCTAAAAAATAAAATCCTTAATTATTTGCCTCATATTTATTTTCTAAACCTCCGAAAGCAGCTAGACCGGTAACTCCAAATTGATGACCATTAAATGTTTGTACACATTCTGTTTCATTAAAACGCCAAAGGCGAATAGCTAATCAACAAAATATTTATAATTACAAATTATCCCCAATCATTACTGATAAATACTTACAACAATCTTTAGAGCCTGACAAAACAAAATGTTGAGATCCAGAATGTTTATATAAAACTTTATTTATTTCTTTTTGATGTCCTTTCCATCTAGTTACACAATTACAAGTATCCATATTATTTAAAACAATTGTATTGTCAGAACTACAAGAAACAATCATTTCTGGTCTAACAACACTTAACCAATTTATAGAATTTTTATGTACAGGAGGTGGACGTTGAATTGAATATTGGGATGGTATTGATGGTGGTTGGTGATCTCTAGAAGAATTTATTAGAGAAGTTAAGGGAAGTATTAGAGTTTCCTTACAAATTATTGTTCTCTGATTGATTAAGAATTAAATCATTATCATCTAAATTAGCTAATGCAGAATACGTGCTGCCCATGTGTACTAGTATAATTAGTAAATATTTACAGAATTTACCAGAAAAAGTCTAAAAATAATAAAAAAAATTTAAACAAAAAATACATTTTAAAAATATATAGATTTATTTATTTATTTGTATTCTCGTTCTATTTTACTTTAATCTTTTTCTTGAACAAACATTATAAACTTGTGCTAGTCGATCTCCGAGTCGCGGATTTATGTACTATGTTTTTCTCATTTCATTTTAGTTACTATGGACAACCACCAACAAAAATATAATAAAAAGAATATATACAAGGGACCTAGGCTTTTGGAGATGGAAAAAACTCCAAAACATTCTCCAAGGCTTTTGGAGACCCGTGATCGTGGTGGGACTAACCCCTTGACCAAAAATCTGAATGTATAACAAATTGAAAAATTAAAAATATTAAATAAAATTTTATTTTTTTTTTATAAAAAAACAATTGTATGTAGAATTAAAAAGTTTATGAGATCTAAATTTTAAGTTTACTTTAATTAATTTAATTTATTCTGTTTAGTTCTTCTTTTAATTCGATAACGAGGATTTATTAAATCAAGAAACACAGCCAAGAAGTAATTAAGTGCTGCACCCCAAACCCAAACAATTCCAAACCAGAAACCAGAATTTAAAAGACTTTAAAAATATTTTATTAATTTAATTTTTAAAAATTATTTTTTCACTTTTTAAGACGTTCTCCAAAATTAATTTCAATTTCTTCTATCGCTTCTTTATATACTTTTTCTGTTCTTTTCGCAACATCCTCCCAATTATATGATTTAGCTATTCTTTCATGTTTTTCTTTTGAATTTGGTAATAAATTATTTTGATAATTTTTGATTGAAGTTAAAATTGATTTAATTAAAACTAAAAAAAATAATCAAAATTTAAATTAAAAAAAGAGAACTTTCTGGATTAGGTTCAGCTAAAGTAATAAATTCTGGAGGTAAAACTTCAGGAATTCCTCCAACTTTTGTTGAAACAACGTGTAAACCGCAACAAGCTGCTTCAACAATACTCATACAAAAAGCCTCAGTTAAAGAAGTATTTAAAAATATCTGTCCTTGTATTAAAACTTCGCGGACCTCAAAAATTTATTTAAAAAATATATCTTTTTATTTTAATTACTTTATCATGTGGAAGTTCCCCTTTAAGTTCAACACGATGATGAAGTTTATGTTTTTCTCTCATTTCCTCTAAATCAACACGTTTTGGACCATCACCGCCAATTATAAAACGAACTAAAAATTAAAATAAATATTAAATTCTCCAAAAAATCCCTCCCCTTCTTCAATTTAAATTTTAAATTAAAAACCTTTTTTATTTAATTTACATATTTCAGGTATTATTTGTACTAACAAATCAATTCCTTTTCTATAAACTAAACGAGACAATACAACAATTGTTATATTTTCAGAAGAATAATTTTTATCTGGTGGTTTAAATAACGTTGAATCTATAGCATTTGGAATAACAAAAACATTTGATGGAGGGACACCGGCACGTAAAACTGTGTTCTCTTTACTAATTTAATTATATTAAAAAAATTATTTTTTTAAAAACCTTGTATGAGAAACACAAATTAATCTATCTACATTTATTAAAGAATAACGCAAAACAAGTCGATTACTTAAAATAGCCCCAGCATCCGCAAATCCAAAAAGTGAATGATCAGTAAAAATTGTTTTAAGTCCCAATGTCCATCCGTGCAATAAAGCTTCGTGTCCCATTGTAGAAAATGTGGAATGTGAATGAACAATTTGAATATTTTCAAAAGAAAATATTTTACGAAACCAAGGGAGGGAACCCAAAGCTGAAGGTAAATAATTATTTCCAATAACCAAACAAGGAAGGTAATAAACCTTTTTTTTAATTTTTGTAAAAAAATATTTTAATTTTAATTTAAAACCTTAAGTTTTCCTGAATATAAATAACGAATTCCATTTCTATTTCCATAAGCATGAGTTAAGACAATAACCTCAATTTTAAAATTTTTTTAAAAGTTATTATTAAATACATTTCCCTTTGTAGTAATTAAAGGGAAATGTAATATTTTGGATTAAAGATTGATTACATTTTATCTTTTTTAATTTCATTTGTTTTTTTATCAATTTTTTTTAATTAAAAATTCTTCCATAAAATTAAAATTTTATATTTTTTTAAATATATATTTCCAGACATTTTTAATAACAAAAAAATAAATCTTCTATTTAAAAACTTTAAGTAAATAAATTTAAAACACCATATGTGTAAAAGTACATTTACTATTTATTTTCTTTATTTTTTGTTTATTTTTATAAATTTTTGTCTGATATTTTAAAACCTTATGCCCGTTATTGAGCAGACATTTCGCCAGTTGATAAATGTGTGTCTCAACTCCTCCAGTATTTGGACAAAAAAAGTCGGAGACCATTCTGATAAAATAAACAGATTTTTTATTTGTAATTAATTATTTCTAAATATTTTTTTAAATCCAAAAATAGAAAAAAAAATAATTTACGCGATTCGAAAACATTCTTTCCTTTTTTGTTTCCGTTCAATTTCCAATTCTTCCTTTTCCAGATATTGACAACCACCGAAAGAAGCACGCGTTCCTCCCTTTCTCTGAGCCTTCCCCATTTATCAAAATAATTTTAATGTCTGATGATATTTAGGGGAGTATTTACTAAACATTTTTACTAAAATAAATAAATTTTAGATAAGTAATTTAGTAGTAGAATGAATAATTTTTAGAAAAATAAAATAAAAGTTGTTTTTGGTATAAATAAATGTCTTTCTTTCACTCTTTCTCTGATTCATTATTTCTGCGCCAATTGAGAATAGAAAAAAAATTTTTTTAATTTATTTAAAGGATAAAAAATAAATATTTCTAGGAAAGTATTTAATAAAATAATTTCAAAAATTCTTAATTAAAATATACACATGTTTGCACAAAAATTTACACTTATCAGGAAATTTTTAAATAAATTTCCTATTTCTGACTTGTATTTAGCTAAATTCTTTTTTGGTATAAATAAAATTATATTCTAAAAATATTTTAATACAATTTTAGCAACAATTTAAACTTCAAAACAATAATCCTAAAAACTTAAATATTTATTAATCTTTTATGTTGATAAATGTCAGTTGTTGATTTTTGAACATTACTTACCCAAGTAATACATATAAAAAAATTAATAATTTCCCCCAATCTTTTCTCTAAATATTAACTACTAATATATCTTGTTAATAATATTTAATTTTAGTAGCTTTTTCGAGATTTTATTTTTTTGTGTTTAATTGTCATTATTTTGTGAAAAGAATATTTTAGTAAATGTTTCTAATTATTTCATTTTTCCAATAAAATACCCCCAAAAAATACAAACTTTGGTCTTTTACCCTCCGTGTAGTCTAGCAGCTTTTTATTCGTTGTGTTAATTTACGTTCTCGTATCCTTCTCTTATCAATTTTAACGAGAATTGTGAAATAAAAAATAACTTTATACATTTATTTAGACATTTTAGAGTCTTAATTAAATGAGAGACATTTAAAGGAAGTTAATTTAAAATAAAAATTATTATTATTAATTTTTGTTATTTTACCTAATTACTAATTATTTTTAAAATTTTTGGTAGAGAAGAAGAATTGTATGTATTTTATGAATGAATGACATTCATTTTTCATCATTCATTCCCTCTGCTCTCTAACTTTTTTAATCCTTTCTCCAATATTTAATTTAAACCTTCCCCTTCTTAATTCTTTTATTTTTTTATAAATTTTAAAACCTGGAAGTAAAAAAAACTTTTCCTTTTTTTTATTATCACTTCTCATTTATTTATTTCAGACGATTTATTGATTTTTAGTGCAAATTAAGCTTAATTTTTAAAACTTTTCCCGACAATAAGTCCCTTTAAAAACTAACAACTGTCTATTAATCAATCTATTTAAAAGGATAAAATTTATTAATTCGAAATTTAGTTAAAGAATAAAAAAAATTTTTTAATTTAAAAATTCCACAAAACATTTAAAATTATCTAAATTTATAATAATAATTATTGTTTTGTGCTATCCGGCTATTAAGAAGTTAAAATATTTTTATAAAAAATATTTCTTAAATATTTCCCTTAAATTCTTTAAATTAATTTCTAAGATTATTTAAACAACACTCCAAATTAACAAAAGTATTCTAAACAGTTATTTTAATTTACAAATTAATTAACCAATATTCAATTAGGGAATTTGTTTCTAATTTTAGATTTCTCTTCTCTCCCTTTTTTGTCTAAAAATTAACATACCTAATTAATTTTACATATTTTAACATTACTTCGAATTAATTAATTGTTATTATTAATTTGGAGGCTTTCAAATTTTTAAAAATTATCTCGTGGTTGAGTCTGCATTGAGAGCTCATTTCTAATTCTGAGCCGTTAGAATTTGTTGAAGATAAAACTTATAATTTTTATAAATATTTTTAAATTAACATTTTTAATATATTCTGTTATATATTTTAAAAAATATTTTCCCTTTCTTTTAAAGCATTTATTATATTCACATTTGTGTGTGTACCGACTGTCAGTGCAGTTGTGTATGTGTGTGTCTATGTACCCGGCTGTCCCCATTTGTTTGTCTAATATATTTTTTGTCTGTTAGCTTTATTCTCTCTCTTTTTCTATCGTTTCTTTCACCAATTCCCTTCGTGTCCGGTTAACTCATCTACTCGTTAACTCATCTACACGGCCAAAAACGTTCAACTCATCTAAACGGCTAAAATTCCTTAACTCATCTACACGGCCAAAAAGGGTAAACTCATCTAATCGTTAACTCATCTACTCGTTAACTCATCTACACGGCCAAAAAGGGTCAACTCATCCAATCCTTCGGAACGAGACTATTGAGTACCGGCCGTTTGAGTCTTTGGCCGTCTGAGTCTCCGGCCGTTTGAGTAACATTTTTAATATATTAACATTTTTAATATACCGTATTTATTCTAATAGAATGGCAGCCATTCTATTTTTCAATACCCCCAAAAAATTGTCATTCAATTGGAGGTGCCATTCAAATATACTTCGAATTAATTAATTGTTATTATTAATTTGGAGGCTTTCAAATTTTTAAAAATTATCTCGTGGTTGAGTCTGCATTGAGAGCTCATTTCTAATTCTGAGCCGTTAGAATTTGTTGAAGATAAAACTTATAATTTTTATAAATATTTTTAAATTAACATTTTTAATATATTCTGTTATATATTTTAAAAAATATTTTCCCTTTCTTTTAAAGCATTTATTATATTCACATTTGTGTGTGTACCGACTGTCAGTGCAGTTGTGTATGTGTGTGTCTATGTACCCGGCTGTCCCCATTTGTTTGTCTAATATATTTTTTGTCTGTTAGCTTTATTCTCTCTCTTTTTCTATCGTTTCTATCATACGCATCACCAAAAAATTTGTCTATGAACGAAAAATTGTCTTGAGAATTGTTAATTACAAGTCTTGAGACTCAGAGTCAAGTCTTGGTCTCGGATCTTGGGGTCAGTCTTTGGGGTTGAAAATTGTTGAGATTGAGATGGGTGATTGGGAAAATTGGCAATTCGACCAACTTTTTTTTGGAAAATTCGATATTTTAGAGTTTTAATAGTGAATTTTCCTCTATGTATCACTATAAGATTCAAAAGTTTTTTGTCTCGGGACTAAGAGTAAAATTTTGATTAAGATAGGTGCAATACAATTAAAATTCATTCAATTGGAGGTGCCATTCAAATAGAGGCTGCCATTCTATTTTTCATAGGTCAGAAATTGAGATTGGGATTGTTGAGATTGAGATGGGTGATTGGGAAAATTGGCAATTCGACCAACTTTTTTTTGGAAAATTCGATATTTTAGAGTTTTAATAGTGAATTTTCCTCTATGTATCACTATAAGATTCAAAAGTTTTTTGTCTCGGGACTAAGAGTAAAATTTTGATTAAGATAGGTGCAATACAATTAAAATTTCCTGCACAGTTGGGTCCTGATTGCTTATCAAATCGTGGAATTTTGGTGAAATATAGTGGGATCAAGTGACATTTGGAGGGATATTGGGTTTTGGAGGATTATCGAGAGTTTGAAGGATTATCGAGAGTTTTATCGAGAGTTTGAAGGATTATCGAGAGCTTTTTTGGAGGATTATCGAGAGTTTTCCATCCAAAATCATTCACATCATCCTCAATCTTTCCTAATCCATCTTGATCATACGCTGATCATACGCATCACCAAAAAATTTGTCTATGAACGAAAAATTGTCTTGAGAATTGTTAATTACAAGTCTTGAGACTCAGAGTCAAGTCTTGGTCTCGGATCTTGGGGTCAGTCTTTGGGGTTGAAAAATTTTTGGTCTCGGACATCTCTACTAAATATCACACCATAATTATTTTATTTGGATCCCAGATATCTTCGTCAAATGTTTTTATCCCTCATTATCCTCTCAAATCCCATGATATCCCTATCAAACACCACTTTTTTGCCCTAGACATGCTCAAAAATATCGGAACTATCATACTAAAAAGGAATATTAAACTAGTTAATAAAGTGAATAAAGAAATAAGAGTTAGGTAGTTAATAGTTAGAAAGTGTCATTCTATTAGAGGTGCCATTCAAATAGAGGCTGCCATTCTATTTTTCATTCATTCAAAAATGTGTCATTCTATTGGAGGTGCCATTCAAATGGAGGTGCCATTCAATTAGAATAAATACGGTATTCTGTTATATATTTTAAAAAATATTTTCCCTTTCTTTTAAAGCATTTATTATATTCACATTTGTGTGTGTACCGACTGTCAGTGCAGTTGTGTATGTGTGTGTCTATGTACCCGGCTGTCCCCATTTGTTTGTCTAATATATTTTTTGTCTGTTAGCTTTATTCTCTCTCTTTTTCTATCGTTTCTTTCACCAATTCCCTTCGTGTCCGTCTGAGTCTGGCCGTCTGAGTCTCTGGCCGTCTGAGTCTCTGGCCGTTTGAGTCTCTGGCCGTCTGAGTCTCTGGCCGTCTGAGTCTCTGGTAAGTTGAGTCCATGACCAGTTGATTCCATGGCCAGTTGAGTCCATGACCAGTTGAGTCCATGACCAGTTGAGTCCATGGCCAGTTGAGTCCATGACCAGTTGAGTCCATGGCCAGTTGAGTCCATGACCAGTTGAGTCCATGGCCAGTTGAGTCCATGACCAGTTGATTCCATGGCCAGTTGAGTCCATGACCAGTTGAGTCTCAACCGGCGGTACTCTACTGGCCATGGACTCAAACGGCCGGTACTCAATAGTCTCGTTCCGAAGGATTGGATGAGTTGACCCTTTTTGGCCGTGTAGATGAGTTAAGGATTATATGAGTTAACGATTAGATGAGTTAACCCTTTTTGGCCGTGTAGATGAGTTAAGGATTATATGAGTTAACGATTAGATGAGTTAACCCTTTTTGGCCGTGTAGATGAGTTAAGGATTAGATGAGTTAACGATTAGATGAGTTAACCCTTTTTGGCCGTGTAGATGAGTTAACGAGTAGATGAGTTAACGATTAGATGAGTTGTATAGGAGCCATTCCCTTACGTACATATTTCTTTATTTTCTCCCAAATTCTTCAATAATTTTACAGTCTAGTATTTTCTTTCTTCCGATAAATGTCGCGGTTCAATATATGGAAAACTAGGGGGATTACGGCTGACTGGCAATAAAAGTAGCAAAAGAATATGTATACATACATAGTAGTAACAAGCTTTTTTGCGGAAGGAATTTTTTTTAGAATTTATTTATAGTTGCTGGAATTGTAGTTGTATAGTAATAGGTAGTGGGTAGGGGACTTTGAACGTAAATACATAAAATATGTTTTTTTAATTTAATATGTATTTATATTAATCAGTTAATTAACTATAAAAATTATTTCTACTAAGCGTCTATTATTTGGGTCTTTAATAAGGAGAGTTTGCTAGCAATTATAAAGAAAAAAATTTAAATAAATGATTTGTTAATAATTTGATTATACTTTTTAGTGTATCAAGTTTGAGTTTTGAAACTTTTCGAAACTTTGCAATCTTTTTTTACCCAATTTTGTCCTCACATTACGTGTCACACAACTAAATATATGTAGTTTGCCCCCAATAAGCAAAGGGTTATTTATGTATACATATACTCAATCATTTATTTTCTTAAATATATTTTCAACCCCTCTTTTTTACTTTTTTCTGATTTCATTGAAATATTACATATTTAATTTTCATTACTTTCCCACTCACTTACCAAAATTTTTTCGAGAATTTGATAATTTTTAATATTTATTTGCTGCTAATTTTTTATACTATAACAATCACGCATATACCTTTAATTAATCTCAATAAAGTTTTCTTTAATAATTTAATCCAGGGCTCTCATCGACAAAATGCCACTCAAAAGTATCAAAATCTTGATAAAAAAGTATATAGGGAGAAAATTTCCAAATTTAAAGTATACTCAAAATTAAATTGGAAAATATTTGTTCGTGCTCAAATCTTTTATATTTCTCTCTTAAATGAATCTTTTCTAATAATTTCTTGCTTCCATTGGGCATTTTGTGCATTTCAACGCATGACATGTCAAAATTCGCTGATACAAGAAATAAAGCCCTGACAGTCTTAACCTCAAGCTTTCGTCCATTTTCAGCGCCGCAGGCGAAAATTTTTTGAAATTTGGAGCCCAAGTAGTCAGATTTCTCCCATTTTCAGCGCCGCAGGCGAAAATTTTTTGAAATTTGGAGCCCAAGAAGCCAGATTTCTTTCTTTTTCAGCGCCGCAGGCGAAAATTTTGATAATTTCGAAGGCCCAAGGCTAAAAAAATTCACTTTTTTGCCCAATCCCTTCCCCAATTTCATTTTCAATCCAAAATGTTGATTTTAAAGTATATACTTTCAATAAAGTATAAATTCAATTTCTTAAGTATGGAGGTCGGTTTCAAAGTATAATACTTTCAAATAAAGCACGAATGAGAGCCCTGATTTAATCAATCCCTCCTTTCCTTCCTTTTATTTTTTTCTTTTAATCCTTCCCCAATCATATTTTTAATGATTTTTTGCGCCGAAATCATCGGCTGTCATCAATAATTAATTAGGTGTTTTAGGACCGGTTGGTGCTTTCCTTAACAGGGCCTAGACATTAATTTATATATACTAACTTTATTTTTTTACTAAAATTTTACACATGATTATTTTGTTTTAATTTTTAAACAATTGTTTAAATTATTAATTAATTAAAAATAATTATTATTATTTTATTTTCCATTTTTCTTCACTTCAATTTCATTTCATCCCTTTTCTCTTCATTTCTTCACATTCCTTTAGTTTTTTCTTCAATTCTCTTCCTTATCATAAATTTTCTTTTCATTCTTCATTTTAATCTTTTATAATTTTTCCATTAAATTCTTTCAATTATTTACCACTTTTTACAAATTTTTAAATTCTTCTCTTTTCTAATTTTTCTTTTAAATTCTTCTTAATTTACTTTAACTAATCATTTCCCTTAATTTCTCGTCTCTTTTAATGTCCTCCTCATTTTTCTTTTATTTTTCCTTCCTTAACTTTTAAAATCCACACACTTTTTTAATCAGACAATAATAAATTTTATTTTTATTTTTGCAGCAAAATGCACCTCTTTTACCTTTTCACTGCCTTCAATGCCGTTACCATAAAAAATTGCTGCCATCGCCCATCGACTGGTTAAAAAACATTTTTCTTCTTTTAATTTTTTTACAATCAACGGCCACACAAAGTGAAGAAATTAAAAATAAATAAAAATATTTTTTGAGAAAAGAAATGGCTATTGCCGAATGCTCAAAAACGGCAATGTCAACAAATACTGATTCATCTGCTTTATCAACAAGACATGCGGGTAGTAGAGGAGGTGGGTAATTTTAATATTTAATTTTTAGAATTTTAAGAATACATCGAAGGGAATTATTAAAATTAATTAATTTTATTAAATTATTAATTTATTAATTATTAATTTATTAACATCTTTTTGATTAAAATTAGAAATTTATTATAAACTTATTTAGAATTAACATTCATTTTCTTCAATTTTGTTAAAATTCCTCTATTTTTAGAACTAAATAATAGTAGCACACCACAACTTCATCAGCAAGCTAGTGACGATGAAGAAAAATGCCTTTTAACGCCAACTTCCTTGGCAGGGGAATGTTGTGCTTCTTTCTCTCAGGTTTTAAAAAAAAGATAATTTTTAATTAAAATTATTTTTTAAGAGTGACACAGATTTACTTCAAAGGCAAACAGAAACAATTGAAAGAGAAAGAAATCAAAATTCAAATAAAAATAATTTTTTGGAAGTCTCTTCCCCAACAGATATCGAAAACGAATATTCTTCCCCTTCCCCTCAACAACAATATTTTCTTTCAACTGCTTTAATTTATTCTGAACCAGCTTTACCTAGCGCGCATTTAAATGATATTGCTGGACAACAAACAAATATGTTTAATTATCATTGGGCATATTCTGATTTAACTCTTTCTCAGGTTTTGCTGAAATTAAATGATAAAAAAGCTTAAAATAAATTTTCCCCAATAATATTGACCTTTATACTATAGTTTACTCCTTTGAAAATAGTTAAATCTTTATTTGACTATTCGCAGTAAAATATTTAACAAAAATTATGAAATTAGGGACTCTCATGTAATTGTCACTTTTATTGAATTTTAACTTTTAAAGGGTTAAAGCAGTCTTTGTTATTTTAATCTGTTTTTCCTATCATAATTTGATTAGAAAGTAAATTTAGTTTACTTTTAATTTCTATATAGAGTTGTGCCACAGATACAATCGATGCATCTATTATTTCAAGTCAACAACAACCCCAAGATAATTCTAATTTGAATAGCGCCCGTAGTGATAAAGCTTCTAGAGCCAATACCCCAAAATCTTCTTCCTGCCTTTTTTCCTCAGAAAGTCAGCCATCCATAAGTACATCAATTAGTTATTTACCACACAAACAATCATTTTCAATTGGAGAAATACGGGATACACATTTACAAATACAAAAACGTTATAGACCTTCAAAGAAAAGACATTATACAGATCCTGTTGATTTTGAAGGTTTTCTTTAGAATTGAAAGAGAAAATTTAGAAAAAAATAAATTTAGGTATTCTTAATATAATTGGAGGGTGTTCTTGGTGGCAAATATGGGTTTATCTTCTAATTAGTTTACAACAAATTCCTCATGCCATGTTTAATTTATCTGTAGTTTATATGATGTATCAGGTGTGTAGATAATTACACCCCGTTTATTGACACTATCTTTTTAATATTTTTACATTTTTAGCCAGATCATTGGTGTAAAGTGCCAGGTGTTAATTCCTCCTTTCCCCCACCCCACCCCTCGTCAACTCAATTTTCTTCTAAGTCGCCTTACCACTCTACAACTACCTCCCCTCCAAAAACAACAACACAAAGTCCTTATCTTTGGGATTTATCAGATGCATTACAGGGATCTGTAGTTTATCCAAGAACGAGAAATAAACAACGAGACACGCTTAACTTCCATTCGCAGTGCCATTTTTATGATAGGGGAGAAGAAAGGTTTTAAATTATAATTAATTATAATTTAATTTAGAAAAATTTTAGATATGACCAACTCAGACGAGTGCCTTTGGATGAAGCCCAAAAAATTGTTAACGAAAGTGGGGAAAGTCCGGATATAGTAAAATGCCAGGAATGGTACTAATTTATTTATTTTTTAATTTTATTTTTTGAAAAAGGTATTATGACCAAGATGTTTTACGTTCAACAATTGTGACAGAATGGAATTTAGTTTGTGATGATAATTTTAAAAGAGCACACGCTCATTTATTTTATTCTTTTGGATTTTTATTTGGTTGTTTATTGGGAGGTTTTGCTTCGGATAGATTTGGAAGAAAACCAACAGTTATTGGGTTTGTCTTCTTTGAAGATTTTTAATAAAAATATTTTTTTCAAGTTTTGGTATTCTTTCTTCTTTATTTGGCCTTTTACTTCCTTATTCAACATATTTTCCTATGTTTTTATTTATTCGATTTTGTGGAGCTGTTTGTAATGAAGGTTTAAAAAATAACAAATTTATTAAAATTAATTTTTTAGCTGCTGATTTGGCTGCTTATGTTCTTTGTATGGAAATTACTGGGACAAGATATCGTGCAATGGTTGGTAGTCTTTTACAAGCTCCCTGGGCTGTTGGTTATGCTACATTGGCTTTGATTGCCTATTTTTGTAAAAGTTGGCAAAATATACAAGTACTTAATAAATACTTATTTGCTCAAATAATTATCTTGAGTAATTATTGTTTCAACCTCTCGCTTGAGGGGGTAATTAATAGGGTTTCGCCGGAAGTTCCGGTTCCGGTTCCGGGTTCCGGAAGTTCCGGTGTTTTTTTGGTTCCGGTTCCGGCTCCGGTTTACAAATCGGTTCCGGCCAAACCGGAACTTTTTTACACCCCTAAGGATTGGTTTTTTTAAAAATTAATGAACTACTCGTACTCGCGTACTTGGTATTAAAAGAAAAATCGAAAAAAATATGTTTAATTTCTTTCGTCCCCCCTCATATGACCAGGTGACCCAGTGGTTAAGGGGTTAGACTTCACCCAAAGCATTGATGATTTAAAGTTGGGTTCTATGCCTTGTCAGAGAATAAAGAATTTTCTTATTTTTCTTTCCATAATTAATTTATTTTATGAGTTTAATCTTGTTTTAAAAATTATATTCTACATATTTTTACATTGAGGAATTAGGAAAAGTTGTATGTTATATCGGAGGATTTGGATGGATTAAGGTGGATTTTGTTCTATATCGTACCCCTCCTTATTCCACTGATATGCCTAAAATCACCCTTACAATTCCGAACCTTTATATATCCCGTTATCAAACACGTATATCCGACAAATACCACTTAATCGCTGACAAATTTTCGGTTCTGTTTCGGATAACCGAAAAATTTGGTGAAACCGACAACCCTGCTTAAAATAAAAATTTTCTAGCAAAATTTTTAAAGTTCCGGTTCCGGTTCCGGGCCGGAACTTAGAAAAGTTTCGGTTCCGGTTCCGGGAACCGGAACTCAAATTGGTTCCGGTTCCGGTTCCGGTCAAAATTTCGGTTCCGGCGAAACCCTAGTAATTAATCGAGAAAGGGGCAATTATTCGAGCATTTACCTGAATTTAATTTTCTTTTAAAAAAATTTCTTTTTTACTAGTTAATTACTGCAGCACTTCACACAATTAGTATTTGTTTAATTTGTGTATTACCAGAAAGTCCTCGTTGGTTAATTGTGAATAATCGAGTTGATGAAGTAAATATAAATATTTTAATATTTAAAAATAAAAACAAAAAATTTTAGGCAGAGAATTACATTCGACGAGCTTGTAGAAAACCTCCATTTCCTTTCAATCTCTTTGATTTTAATAAAAGTTCATTACCTTCTGATTTAGAATTGGTTAAATAAAATATATTTTAATAAATTTTTCTATAAATTTTAGGTAAAACATGCAGAACAACGTAAATGGGTACGTCGTGATCAACGTGCAAATATTCTTCATTTACTTAAATCAAGAGCTCTCTGTATGAGAACTGGGGTTATTTGTATTGTTTGGATTGCTACTGCCCTTGTATATTATGGATTAATTATTGGTAGATTTTAATTAAAATATTAATTAAATATATACATGAAAGTCTATCTGATTTTTGAAAAAATTTTTGAGCTACACTAGGTTAGACAAGATCCCTACCTATCGTTTCATTTATTTTTCTTGATGCCAATATTGCATTATTATTTACAATTGGCTTTAATGGGATGTGTAACTGCCCCTAAATATTCCAATTAGCCACTTTCACTTTTGCAGAAAACATGCGATACCAAAAAACGAAAACTTTTTTTTATTAACCGACCTAGTAATTATATCATTTCCTACAAACAAAATTCCTATATTTTTTTGGTATTATTAAAAATTCTAGAGATTGTTTATATTTTTATTTTTAAAAATTATTTAAAGCTCTATCTGACCAATCTGCCCCCGGCCGTGTTCTCTTTTCTGGTAATTTCTTTTTAAACAATGCAATTGCTGGTGCTATTGAATTACCAACATTAATATTTTGTGTTTATTTAATGAAATTTGGAAGGAAACGGTGTTTAAATTTAAAAATTAAATTTCTAATAATTTAAATATTTGTTTAAAGTTCACAAATATTTACACTTGTTGGGGCTGCTCTTTTTATTATTTTAGCAATGTGTGCAATGAATTTTGGAAGTCCAATGCTTTCTTTAGGATTAATGCTTGGTGGAAAGATTTTTATTCAAGGCGGTTTTAATATTCTTTATATATTTACTTCAGAATTATATCCAACAGTTATTAGAAATAGGTAAAATTAATTAAAAATATTAATTCGAAAATGGTTTTTTAATTTTTAGTGCAGTCGGTTTCTGCTCTATGGTTAGCTATATTTTTATTTTCTTAATTAAATTATAATAGGCCGAATATTTTTTAAACTGTTTTTGTTAGATATCTAGTCCATTATTTTCTTATTTTTATTAATTTTGTTTGAGGGATTTGATTTTAATTATAAAAAATATTTAAAAATAATTTTGTTTTCTTGAAAAAATTTCCTAATTTTTCATTATTTTTCATTAGATTGCCCGTTTTGGTTCTGGCGTTTCCTCTTATATTGCAATTCTTTCGGACGTTACACTTGCTTTTGTGCCTATGATTATATTTGCAACATTTTCTTTATTTGCTGGAACATTAGTAATGCTTTTACCAGAAACTCGAGATCAACCTTTGCCTGATACTTTACAAGTAATTTTATTTAATTTGGATACTAAAAAGAATATTTTTAAAGGATGCTGTGACAATTCTTAAAGACGATTCTCGTCCTTATCAATGTCGGGGTTTTGGCTCTATTTTTCTTGGAACTGATAAATATAGTATTTCGATTACTGAATTAGTTCAACATCAAAATGAGGAGGAAGAAGAAGAAGAAATAGAAGAACAACAAACAGAACGTGATGAAAGTAGTGAATGTGAGGATAGAAATTGTGGGGGTACTTCAGAAGTTGATGAATTAACAAATAATAATGAGGATAATGATGGTGGTGGTTACATATTTTGGAGTAATTAAAAATAATTTTTAATTTTTTTAAAGAAAATACTAATATTTCTCCTAAAAATGACAACAAAACTTCAACTAAACGTTTAACAGAAAATGGAATGTCTAGCAATAATGAACCTTTGCCAAGTATTCCAGAAGAAGATCATCACCAAATATTACAACAAAAACTTTCGTCTTCATCTAAAAATTTTACTGAAAATGAAGAAATTCCTTTAATTTGTTTAAGAAATCGGAAAGATAAAAATGAAGAAAAAATAAAAAAAGAAAATAAATTAAATTCTTCTTCAAATAATTTATGTGAAAATGAAATTAGTGTATCCCCATTAACTTCTCATAGTGAATTTTCTCTTTTAATTAAGGTAAAAAATATTTTCAAAAAAATTAAAAATAAATTTTATAAATTTAGGATGAACGATTGGAAAGTACTAATACAATAATTCCATCAACAACATTAATTACTGCCTCATCGGTTGGGCAACTTTCTCCTTCAGGAGTAAATATAGCACAACAAGCATTGGCTATTTAATTTTTTGATTAATTACTGCATAATTTTAAATAATTTTGGAAAATTTTTTTTGTCATTTTCAATTTAAATTTTCTATCTATTAAAAATTTTGTTTAAACACAAATTTATCTAAATATTTTTAAATAATTTAAAAAGAATAGAGTTAAGTATTTTCTATTTATTTTCTTATCTTTTTCTATCAAAATTAATTTCTTTTAAATATTTTAAAAATTTAATTTAAATTCTCTAATTTAAATCCATCTGATTCATTTCCAGAATATTTAATATTATAATTAATTAAATACTTATTTGGATAAAGTTTTTGGCAAAATTATTTTAAAAAATTATTTAAAAATAAATGTGCCTCCATCAAAATTATATTCAATTAATTTAACATATTCTCAAAAACCTTCAAATAAAATCCTGCATTAAATATAATCTCCCCAAATTTTCTATTAGAGAATTTATTTAAATTCATTTCTATTTTATTACTTATTTTTTGAATTAATTACGGGTATATTAAATACATATATACTTATTTATTTTAATCGAAAATATATTTTATACTTATCAATTTATTATTTACTTAATTTACTTTAACTTTTCTTTAAATTATCTCTACTCTATAAACTTTACGAGTCAAAATATTAAAAATATTTAGATAAATTTGTGTTGATTTTTTTCCCAGTTTATTTTTTTAATATTATTTTTATTTGTTTTACCAAATTTTAAATTTTAGGTTTGATTCTATTTTTTAATCCGTCCAGTTTTTTCCTACCTCATCACACCATTTATAGTTCCCGAGTGCGTGTGAAATGATAAATTTTTGTTTTTCCTGATTTTTATTTAAATTTCTTGAAAGTAAAAATATTTAAAGACAAATTACTTTACATTAGAAACAAAACATATAATAACAAATACAATTAACTAAACAATAATTAACAATATTTATATACTACATTAACATTATTTTATATCGTTTCCTAATAATTTATATTCATATCAACATTATCCTTTCATTGCTTCAACTCTTTTATCTTTTCCTCTTTTTCGAGTGGCGCTTCTTGCGTTTGTGCTTCTTACGGCGTTTCTTTCCCTTCTTCATTGGACTTGTTAAGAGGATTCCACCATCATCATCTTGTGTTCCTTCTGTTTCGGTCTCAACAGTAGAATCGGAGCTACTACTGGAACTTGTTGTGTCCCTCTTCTTCTTTTTCTTTTTTTTATTGAGACGGCCCTTTCCGCCCAAAGGTGGAAGCGGATGAATAACAATAGAATCTGGTGGTACAATTGGTGTAGAACTTGGTGGTGGTGCAGTTGGGGAATCCTAAATAATATGGGAAAGTTTTTTCCTTTTCATTATTTTCTGACCTTTTGTTGAGCAATTATTGCCGTCTTTTCAACTTTAGCCTTCCCTTGAGGTGGTGCTTGCACAGGAGGCTTCACAGGTGGCTTACGAATTGAAGGTTTTTTAGGAGGTGGCACATTATTAGATGGTGGAGGAGGAAGTAGAGCAGTCTGTACTGGATGTACTGGCACAAAGCTAAAATTTTTAGAAAATTTTTATATTTTAATGGTCATTCAGATAATTTAATCACTAACACGATCGGCGGTGTTATTGACGATGGTGAACTTTGTGTACGAGCAATGCCAGGATTGTACATTGGTGGAGGAGTAACTGGTTGTCGTTGAAGTTGTGGTGGAACTGAAGGCAAAGGCTAAAATAAAAGATTTTTTTAAAGAAATTTAAATTATTTATTACAGCAGGCTGTCTCGGTCTTGGTGGCGTAGTTGGTTTTGGTGGTGCTCCTTTACGGATAACCGCCCCCTTTCGCTTTTTCGAACTATTGAAAACGACGCAGAGGAAACAGACAGCAATGAAGACAAGTGAAACACACCAAATAATTAACTTAATCAAATCGTCGTTCCTCATTTCTTGTTCAAGCAGATCTCCTCTGAAATTAGATGAAAAATATCTACAAATATTTTAAAAAATAGTTAATTTACCTATATTATGTTGACAAACACAAGGGCGCAAGATACGTTAACAAGCTTATTATGAAATTAAATTTATTAACAGCCTTTTATATTAAAAATTTTAAATTAGTAGAAGATTTTGATTGTCTTTATTTTAGTACTTTTATTTTTAACTGAAAGAAGTTATTCTAATTTAAATCGGGCCGGATATAATTGTGTATTGTGGGAGGAGGGGGGGTCTTATAGTAGAGAAATCGATTTCTCAAATCTTATAGAGAAATTTCTCAAATCTTATAGAGAAATCGAATATTCACATTAAACATAGAATAAGCTTTATTAAATATATAAAAGATTAGTATTTCTAAAAATGTTTTGAATTTTTTATAGAGATACTAAAAATAAATTTAAGAAATATTCTCAATTAAGCCAACATCAATGTTATAGCCAAACACAAACTTAACACAGCAGAGGCGACAAAGAATAAGCCAATTATTGCCTGTTGGATCATTAAACTCTTTTAATTTAAAAGGATTTAAATTTATTTTCATTTAAATTCTACCTCTCTATGCCCCCCAACATCGCTACATTCACTTGGTGCCATAACCATTAATTGTGGTGGAGGTCTTAAATGTTGATTAGTAGTAGATTGATTAATATTTCGAATATTATATTCTTTAGGTAAATTAATTTGCCAAGTATTTCTTCGTCTTTGTCTTTCATTTTCTTCTTCAAATAATTCAAATCTTTCTCTTCTTTTTAATGAAAACCATTGAAGAGAAAAAAATGAAATAAATGTAAGAACCAAAGAAGCAATTAAAACATCTCTAGCCAAAAATGAGTCAATGAAAAATTGTTCAAATTTAAGACATGCCAATGAAATAGCAATTGCTTAATTAAATAATATTTAAAAATATTTTTGAATAAATAAAATCTCTACCAGAACAAATCCAAGCAATATAACCAAGAATTGAATGTATCCAATTAAATATAAAACGTTTTGGAGATTCTGGTGAACAACGAAATATTGCACATATTGGTTGAAATAAACATATAAAAATACTTAAAATTCCAAATAAAGCGTGTAAAGATTGAGTAGAAAAATTTTGTTCTGAACGATTTGAGAATTTTGGACCAATCCAAAAACCGTCCAATGCAGAATAAATACATAAAAATGAAATAATTACAAAAAGAAAAGCTAAAGAATTGGCTAAACGATGAATCTAAATAATTGAAAAAATATTTTGAAAAAAGATTCCTTTTTTTCTTTAAAGATTAACTTGAAACCAAAGTTGTATTCCAAATAATTCTAATGGTTCTCGTTGATTTCTATGATGAAGAAAACGAGCTGATAAAATTGCTCCGGGTATGAGGAATAACCAAGCAAAAACCATTAATATACCTTTAGAGTTAAAAATGAATAAAATATTATTTTTTTAAATAAAAGTTTTATACGTCCAATTAATTAATTTAAATAATTAGAATAATGAGAGAAAATATTAAAAAAATAATTAAGACTTTGGCAATTAGAAAAAAAGGAAGAAATTAATTTATAATATGTATTTTCGGGAAGGGTTTTGAATTATTTATTTTCCTAACAATTTTTAAGACAATTTTATTGTTAGAGCTTGTTATTGTTCTAAATAAAAAATATGAAAAAATAATTTATATTTTAATCTTCAAATTGTGGAAATATACGAAAGTGTAAGGAAGAAGAAAGATCCAGCTGGCTAGCATTTAAAACGCTTACTAGGCGTGGGTCTATTAAAAGAGAGCAACTGAACGTGGTTAACCCTGCTTAATTAATTAATTAACCTCTCTCTTTCTTACTATTTTTAAACAAAAATATATTTATTACAATAGAAAAATGATAATAAATTGGACGTATAAATAAAAAAAATAATTTTTTAAAGATTTATTTCAATCACCGTGTGTCTTAATTAAACGAAATTCGGAATTATTCGAAGTTAAAAAAGCATCGGAACCAATTTCTGGTTTATTTGTAGTTGTTCCAGAAGTAATTCCAGAATCAGAACAATCATTTTTTGGATTAGAATTTAAAGAAATATTTTCATTATTTAAATTATTTTTTTGATTTTCTTTTTCTAAAATTTTTGTTGATGATTTTTCTTCATTAATATTATTTATATTTTCTGTGCTAGGTGTTGTTGTCGAATCAATTTTTACTTTAAAAATATTTTTTTATTAAACTAATAAAAAATATATACAATCATTTGTTGTTGTCTGTTCAATAACCGGCGAAGATGAATTATTTTCATTAAAAGGAATTGAAAGTTCTTTTGTCAAATTTAATGAAGAATTAATAAAATTGTCATTATATTTATTTATTTCCCAATCCCCATTAGCTAATTCTTCAGGGCTCAAATTAAATTTTGTTAATTGTATTGGGTGGGGAGAAGAAAAGGGAAAAAGAGAAGAATCAGAATTTAATGAATGAATTGTTAAATCTAAAAAAGGGGAAAATATTTAATTTAAATTTAAATTATTTAAATTACCTTTTCCTCTAGTAACCCCAGATGCTAATAAAATAAATATTGGGGCATTTAATGGACGTACAAATTGTGGCTGAACAGATTCAGGCGGCTGAATTAATTGAGAGAAGCGACAATAAATAATACCATCGGCTACTTTAGCATGATGGGTGTGGAGAATTTTAGATTCAAGTCCATAAGCTAATGGCGCTTTTCGATTACTTTTACCTTTTTAATAATTTTGTTTAAAAAATTTTTATCAATTTTTTAACTGAGTATAACCTAAATCTATTTCTTTCTAAGTTTTTCTCTAGTGGAGATACTCTTAATAAAGAGAGGGCAGTCCTCTATAGATATATGTAAATTTAATTTTTATTTCTTACCTGGATTGTAAGAAAGTCTAGCTTTATAATCTCTTCCTTCTAATGAAGAACAATCTGTAACTGTATCTCCCCCCTTTATTTAATATTTATTTAAAAACAAATTATTTCAACCATAAGTCCATCCACAGAAAATCCAACAGCCGCCCAAACATTCGATTCCCCAGCAACCTGAGCTAATAATTCAAAATAAACACGTTCATCATCTGATATATAACTTAGAGCATAAGAACAGTCGTTATATGGATTACAATTTGGTGGTTTAAATAAACAACTTTTTAATTTTTTAAAAATATTTAAAAATAATAAGTAAGAATACCCTTTCGTTAGACCACAACCTGAAGAATCAAATTGTGATAAATCACCTTTATTAGTTAAATTTTCATTTTCTTCTTTAATTGCAATTACCTAATATGAATATTATTAAATTATTAAAATAATTACTTAATTAAAATACTTACAGAATAAAATAAAAAGGAAAATTGAAATAAATTTAAACAATTAAATAATAAAAACATATTTGAAATAATATTATTTGAAAAATAAGAATTATTTAAAAAATTAAGTAATACATAAAATTGACACCAAATATTTTTAAGTGCTATTTGTTTAATTTTTGAAATCTGAGAATTTAAATAAATTAATTCTTTGTTTATTTAATTTTTGAATTAGTTTAAAAGATTTTAAGAAATAGACAAAATATTCAAAATATCCAATAAATATTTAAAAAACAATAAGAACCAAAGGGACGGGAGGAACTTAATTAATGAGCAGTGTTTGGAAATTTCAATGCTTGAACTTATACTCACACTCACACACAAGTACAAGTAAAAATTTTGGTACATGCTTTCAAAAAGTGAGTGGAATTATACGAGAAAAATATTAGTTGAGACCTTCGAAATATTCACTTTGAGGGCTGTACTGTACTTAGAATGCTTTTTATTTAAAGAAGTAAATTATTTACAATAAAACATTTAGTCATAAAATTTAACAGTTTTTAAAAAAATAGGTAAACAAGCAGTATAACGTGAAGTTCAAAACAAAAGATTGAGCCAAAAGATATTTGGCATTGGAAAATCAAATATTTGAATTATTTAAAAATATTTTTTCAATTTACGATTTTTAATAATAAATATTTGTAATGGATTTTTAAATTTATATTTATATAGTTTTTCTAAATTATTTTTAAAAAATTTTATTTTGAAAACATATCCTTTCTAATAAGTTTCAACAACAACAAAAAACATTTAATTCATTAATATTTAATATTTATTTCTCAACTTATTTGCCCTTTTTTAACATTTTAAATTCCAATTAGAGTGATTCAAAATTTTTAAAATAACAAAAAATTTCTCTGACTAATTTATATATTTACTGGGACATTTAAAGAGAATTTTTTTGTTTGTTATTTATTTTCAACCTTTATATTTTTATATTTATTTTTAGAATATAAATAAATATTTTTCTAAAGTATATTTACAAAATTGAGGAGATCATTCAAATTATTTGTCCAGTTATTTTCAGTCAGCTGGCGATTACACTCAAGTTAAGTACTAAATAGAAGTATTCGGAATTAAATTAGAATAAATATTATATAGTATGTATATTATAAAAAGATTTAGTATTTTTCATATTTATTTTACTTGGAAATTTGAAAATATTTTATATAAATTTATTTTATTCAAATTTTTAGGCTGTTGTAAAAATTGTGGTAATATTTTTAGGTGGTTAATTAAACATTTATGATTAATTTTAGTTGAGGCCTTAAAAGCTGTCGAGCATTTTACTTTCCAATAACCCATTAAAGTTCTTAATTTCTAAGTTAATCTTCATAAATCTTCTTAATTTATTCTCATTTTTGTTTATTTAAGCAAAAATCGTCACATTTTTAAATCCGGATTTTTTATTCATTTCCTCATAGCTTTTCCACAAAAATTTTCCTTCTCATTATCTAAAGGAAAAACAAATTTTTACCTCTTCTAAATATTTTTTTCTTTTATTTTAACACAAATCCTTCAATTTCCTTTGTTTTTCTTCTTCTTCTTAATTGCACAAAACGACGATTTTCTTTAATGTTTATTTTGTAGAAGAAAAAAATCTGTTGTTATTGTTATGGCCGTAAGGAACAGTGAAGTAGATAATGCAAATATAATATTCTTTTTTAATTTGTTTCTTCATTTTTAATAAATTATTCTTCTAAATAAATATTTCCTCAATTAAATTTCTTTTAAATTTCAGTTTAAAATTAATTAATTTAACTTAAAAAAACAATGTCTTTCATTATTTTCCTATTAATTTCTGTATTTTCTGCCTTTGTTAGTGCTCAATTTTATTCTCCGCCAATGACCGGATCTGGCTGTGTAGCTACAGGAAATAAATTATATTCACATGGAGTAAGGACACTTTTTTAATTTTTTAAAAATTATTGTGTGTTTTAATTTCAAAAATTAAAAATATTATTAGGGAAAATAAATCCAAATTTAAAATTCAGAATTTTATTCGAGAACTTAATGGAAAAGAAATGTCTGAAATGGAAATATACAAAAATAAATTGCTTGAATGGAAACAACAAGTTGATGAGGCATATGCTCGTCTTGAACAAGCTGTACAACGAAACAATACAGCTATACCAATAATCCCTCCGAGGCCTGCTTTGCCTTCATTCTGTACTTCAAATCAGACGACACTGTTATTTTTAATTTTAATTTGAAAAAAATATTTTTAAAATAATTTTTATATTTTTTAAAATTAAATTTAAAATAGTTATATCCTTGCTGGCTGTACTGTACAAAATAATAAAGTTTATATTGCTGGTAAATTTGCTCGAGAATTAAATGAAAAAGAGAAAGCACAACTCGATGAATTTGCAAAGCAAATGCTAGCCCAACAACAAGCATCGAAAATAGTTAAAATTATTTTGAAATTTGTTACTATATGCTAGTGATGCTCGGGAGAAGAAAAAACCCGGGAATCGGGAAACGGGAGTCGGGTCGGGAAATGACCTCGGGAGTCGGGATCGGGAGTCGGGAATTAGCAATAAAAAAATTTTCCAAAAATTTTAAAAATTTTTGGCGCCTTCGGCGCCAAAAATTCCGTTTTTTTGCACCATAGGCAAAAATATTGAAAATTTTGGAAGGTAAAGAAGCCTTACTAGCGCCGCAGGTGAAAATTTCGAGAATTTTTAGGTTAAGAAGTCAGATTTCTTCCATTTTTTGCGCCGCAGCCAAAAATTTTGACTCTCATTGGAGTGAAATAGAAAGGGGTCTTGAACGATCTTTAAGGGTAACTTAAGAGTATATTTCCCCGATTATTTGGAACAAATAAGCAACAGCCTGTCCAAAAAACCTTGTAACCGCAGAGATAATCAGTGTTGGGTATTGCTGGGGGCTTTTTCTTTGAGCCAGAGCCCAGCTTTGATTTATAGTTGTTGTCATTGACCTTAAGTTCTTAGAATCCCTCCATTGGAGTGAAATAGAGGAAAAGTGAAACAGAGAAAAATATTTTTACGTTCAATTTTGATGGAATTTTGGTGAACTAGCACATATCTCTTTATATCCCCTCAATAGTATTAACACCCCCTATGCAACATTAATCATCCATTGATATCTCTCTTTATTACTGCAAATCCCTCGTTATCTCTTTAAATTCCCCATAATTCTAGTAAATTACCGAAATCTTCTATACTACAACTCCACAAATTCTTAAATTTTCAGCGCCGCAGGCGAAAATTTTGAGGATTTTGGAAGATCCTTAAGCCAAAAATCTTCGCTTTTCAGCGCCGCAGGCGAAAATTTTGGGAATTTTAGAAGACCAACAGGCCAGATTTCTTCATTTTTTCTAAATGAAAATATAATTTTGTCAGAAAAATCCATTCTTAGGGGTGTAAAAATTTCCCGACTTAGTCGGGAATTGACACCGGGAGTCGGGATCGGGATCGGGAGGCCAAAAACTCGGGAAATTTTCCCGAGTCGGGAGTCGGGATCGGGATACCCGAGCATCACTACGAGGCCAAAAACTCGGGAAATTTTCCCGAGTCGGGAGTCGGGATACCCGAGCATCACTACTATATGCGTTTATCTCCTCCACATTTTTCTAACCCTTTTTATCCTTTTCTCATAAAAATTACGAACAGTCATGGAGTCACAAATATGTAAAGAAGAGATATAAAGTACCCATGTACCCATAAATAGTGCACAATTTCTTTAAATAAAAATTTATTTTAATTTAAAAAAAGGAAAACAAAAATGCTGCTTTTGGCAACAACATTCAAGAAGCTCAATCTCTCCCAGCAGCAGATTCAGCAATTAATACACCTCCACCCCCATCTTCCTCATCAACTTCAACTCCCTTACCAACAACAACAATTTCTTTACAGCAAAATGCTGATATTGGTAGACAAATCGCTTTGGATTTTTGTATGGAATTTTGAAAGAAGAAGAAAGAAGAATGAAAGAATTTATATTCTTTTGTATTTATTTTTAATAAAAATCCAAGTTTGACAAGTAAAGAACTAAAAAATAAATATTTCTTCTAATTAATAAATATAGTAAATACCGAGTCATTTCCCATTGATTAGAATTAAATAAATGTATAGCTCTAATATTGTTTAATACAGATTTATTTAATAATTTTTGACAAATATTATAAGCTAGCCAAAGTGAATAATATTTAATTAAATCATCATTATATCGATGTGATGATAAAAGATTAAACATTTCTTGTGGAATTTTGATTTTTGTAAGAGAAGAAAATCTGAGAAGAGATGAAAAGCTCTAAAAGAAAATAAAAATAAGTTGAAATTTTAAATATGGTTCTTAACGAAAAAACCAAAGAAAGGATTTTCAGGAACAATTATTCCTCGTTCAAGACTCAAACAGACTAAACTGACATATACCTAAAAGGTCGAATCATTGACATGAGTAGAATAACTTACTCTGTGCTCTCTAACTTTTAGCCTTTTCTTTTTTAATCAAACTTATAAATAGAATTTACGGTATCTTTCTAATATGTAGAACCATTGTGGTTCTATTTTTCAACCCTTCGATTTTTGTTGTTAAATAGAACAGGAGATGTGTCTAACAATAAGACCTTTTTCCTTTACTCTCACCAAATGTCACTTTCACTTAATGCAAATTTTTCTGCCAAAGAAGTGATATAAAATGAGATTCTACTGTACCTGAAAAAGTAAAATTCCAGGTACAAAATGAACATTAATTCCCGCCTGCCTACAATCTGCAACAAATTGAAAAAATTTTTCTGCTCTATCAAGTGAGAATTGGCAAATAACAAAATTAGCATTTCCTTCACAAATTTTTCTTTTTAAAAATAAAATATCAGTATTTCTGTTATAAGCAAAAGGATGACATTCTGGATATCCAGCAACAGCAAATGTTAATAAATTGTTGGTAGATAATTTATTTGATTTAATTCTTTTAATTAAATGAAGGGAATCTAATTGGGGAGATTTTGGTGAAATCTTTTTTTTAAAGAAAATATAAAGATAATTTTAAATATTTATTTTCTAGTCCAACCTCTAAATTATAATTCAAATAATTATAATTTTCTCTTTTTGGCGAATCTCCACTTAATACAAAATAATTATTAATTCCCAATTGTTTAAGTTTTGTAAAATAATTGTCAACAAATGAGTGAGGGAAATTAATAAAACTTTTTCCTGTAATGTGAAGAATTAAATGAGAATTTTTAGGAAGAATATTTTCATTTAATATTTTTGAGGCAATTGAAGTTGAAGAATTAGGTAATGAAAGATCGGCTTAAAATTGTTTTAGAATTTATTTAAAAATTATTTTCTCTTTATTTTTTTACTTGGATTATTTTCAGCATGTGCAACAATACTTAAAAATAAAAAAGAATTATTTGTTGAAGTGTTATTAATTAATTTATTTATTGAAGAAATAAAATTATTAATTTTATTAATTTCTTTTGGAGGGGAAACTTCAATACAAAAGAATGGACCGTCCGTCGAATTAATTAAATTTAATTTATTTAAAAGTGAATTATTATATTGGATTTTATTCATTAAAATATTTCTAATAAATTAGATGGGAGAAATAAATTAAATAATTGTGGGGTGATAAGAATTAACTAAAAATTAATTAGAGGTAGAATAAAATTTGTGACAGTCGAGAGTTTTTTTTTCTTTTTGGCATTTTGAAATTATTGTTGGGATATTATGTCTTTTTTAAAATTAATTTTTAATTTTTTAAACAATTCTTAATTTTTTTCAGAACTAATTTTAGAAATGTCAATCAATTTCATTTCCTTACCAAAAATATATTCAAAACATTATTTACAAATTAATTTCCAACATTTCCAACAAAAAGCTAATTATGGGGCACCTCGTTTTAAACCGAAAATTTTGAAGACAAAACCTTTAAGAACTCCATCAATGCTTGCTCTAGACAATTTTGATTTTTATTACGGGCCTTTATTTTCAAATAAATGGCCGTCAATCCGTTTAGGTTTGTTAATGCCCAATAAATTTGCTGCTGTTGTTAATCGATTTTCTTCAAGTTTTGAGGTTTTTTTTGAAAAAGGATTTTTAATTAAATTTAAAGGTTAATAAAAATATTATGGAAAGTCTTGGAACAATTAATTTAATTAAACAAATCGTCAATAATAGAGACCCGCCTAAAGAAGTTGAAATAATTAGAAAAAGATTTGATTCACAACTTTCTAAATTACAAGAAAATAAAACAAATTTGGTTAGTTTTGAAAAGGAAATTTTATAAAAATTAAAATTAATTTAAGATTTCTTCAAATTCTTCAAATCCAATTGATTACGATGTTGAAAGCCGTTTAGAGTCGGGAATGGAGTTTTATCTTCCCCCAACTCACGAATTAAAACATGGAGAATTGGAACCTTCAGATAAGGAAATGGAGTTAATTGAAGGGTCTGAGCCAAATATTAGAAGAATTATTTATGATAGCAAATTCAAGTAAGTATTTTGATAAATTATTTGGGTAATAGTGGGGATGTTCATCCAGTCTTTAATTTTACGAATTATAAGAATAACCAACAAAATAACCAATAAAAACCCGTTTAAAACGAAAGAAACTCCATTTTTCTCTAAAATTATTTTTCAGAGTCACAGGTTTAGAGTCAATAGATGCCGATCCATTAATTACTGTCGATGATTCTTTAATTTATCCACGTGATCTTCAAGTATTTATACACCCTCCACAATGTATTGATGGATTTCCTGGCCCAATTAGAGATGAACAAAATGTTTCAGGTTTTTTTGTTAATTTAAATTTTTTTCTGTTTTTAACTATTTATTTAATTAAATTAACTTTAAAAGGAATTTCTTTTCAATTTTTTCATTAAATAGTTTTATTTATTTTAACATTTTTAAGGCTGGTGGCTCTTGGATGGGGGATCAATTCTTCCAGTACTTGCTCTAGATTTAAACGAGGATGATATAGTTTTGGATATGTGTGCATCTCCTGGTGGAAAAAGTTTGTTAATTACCCAAACTGGAAAATTTGGTATTTTTTGAGAATTTTATTTTCTTTTAAATTTTCTCTTTTAAAAAAGCTTCTCTTGTTTGTAATGACAATAAATTATCGAGACTTGGCCAACTTAGAAGAGCTTTGGCAATGTATATCCCAGCTGGGAGTGAGGCAGCATCTCGAATTATTTTGAAAAGAAAAGACGTTTCTAGTGTTGAATCTTGGGATGAATGTGGAATATATGATAAAGTTTGGAAAAAAATTATTTGGGAATTAAATTTGGTTTTTAGGTGCTTTTGGACGCTCCTTGTACTTCTGATCGGTTATCAGCCAATCAGGATGATAATAACATTTTTGCAACAGACAAAACTACGGAACGACTAGATTTGCCACAAAAACAAACAAAAATGTTAATGTAGGGATTTTTTGAAAATTAATTTTTAATAGAACGCAAGGGCGTAGCCATGGGGTCGATTTCAGGGGAATAAATTAGTGTGTGTGCAAAATTCTGGCATTTACTTTTTTTTCAGCTTTAATTTTTTCATTTTTTTCAAATTTAATTTTTTCAGCGCCACAGGCAAAAATTTTTAGAATTTTGAAGGTCGTAAGCGAAAAATTTTATTTTTCCTATCATCTTTCCCAGTATTTTTCACTTCTCTCCATTTCAGGGGGGCTATAGCCCCAGAAGCTCCTTTGTACGTCCTTAATAAAACGGGAATTTGATTTTCAAAAATAGTTCAACATTTTTAGAGATTTCTAATGAAATAAAAAAAAGTTTTTTGTTTTTTTCGGTTTTTGGAATTTTAAATTAGAAAATTTTATTTTTTCAGTAATGCCCTTCGTTCAGTCCGTGTTGGAGGTTCAGTAGTTTATTCTACATGTACATTAGCACCAACCCAAAATGAATTAGTAGTTGAGAATGCAGTTGTTTTTGCTCAACAACATTATGGAATTAAATTTGTAGAACGCTCATTAAAAAGAATGGAAAAACTTTTAAAAAGAACGGGCCTTTACAGATTTAGTGATCAACAACAAAGAGGAAGTCTTGTTTTGCCTTATATTGTTTCTAATTTTGGACCTATGTTTATTTGCAAATTACAAAGAATTGTTTAAATTTTTATTTAAAAAATTGTTTTTTTTGTTTTTAAATAAAATATATAAAATTATTTATTATTTATTTATTTATCAGCAAACCACAGGTATTTTAAAATACATTAAAGTGGTGCATAAAAAAATATACAAATTGAAAAAATATGTGAAAAAACAGCAAACAAAAACATGAATAAATTTAAAAAAAAATTAAAAAAATATGTATAAGAAAATAGTAAAAAAACACTCTAAAAAACACACACGCTAGGGTTTTATGTCTTTAGTTTTAAAATTATTAAAATTTCTAATAGAATAAGGGAAGTAGACATCGAATTCGGGACGGCTTGGCATAGTTGGATGTATCTCGACGAGCTAAATCGAATCATATCAGGACGTCCCGGATTCGACCATTTTGAACGAAGTTATAGCTCTGCGGTACGTTATCCTCGCGGTACGTTGAAATGTAGCCTAGAATAGGAGCCATAATATAGGGTGCCTTTTTAGAGAAAAAATAGGGAAGGCCTTTTCACTTTTATGTTTTAAAATTCACTTATTTTTTGTCATTTCCTTTTTCTGTGCTTGACCCAATTTAAGAAAGCGCAATTTATTTTTAAAGATTTATGATTGTATTTCTGATTGCGAAAAGCTAATTATTTAATATCTTTTTAATTTTTAAGCTTAACATTAAAAAGTTATTTTTAAAAAAATAATGAAAATAAAATATTTTTTAATATTTTATTTTATTATTTCGTTTTTTGTAATGGCTAAAGGAAAATGGGACCCAAAATTGAGAATAAATATTCTTCCATTAGAACAACAATTCTTTGCTGAGTTTTTAATTTAAATTTATTAATTTAAATATTTTTTTTTCTAATTTTGGACGTTTTGTTGATTTATGTATGATGGAAGAAAATAAATCTGAATGGAGTAATTTTAGTAATTGGACAGAATGTACAAAAAGTTGTGGAGGATGTGGAATTAGATGGAGAAATAGAGAATGCTTAAAAAAGAAGGATGAATGTAATTGTATTGGGTAATTATTCAAAAAATAAAATCGGGTAACAGGTCAACACCGAAAATCGGAATTTTTTCCTTGAGAGAGTTAATATCTAGTTTTGGATGGAAGGGGAGGGGGGAATAGATAAATGATTTGGCAAATAATTAAAAACAAGAATGATTCTGAGGGAATATTCACTTTTGAGATTTTTCTTTAAAGAAAGTTCTGTGAATTGTCTATAAATATCTAAATAATTTAATATTTTTAAGGAAAAATAGAGAAGAGGAAGTTTGTAATTTAAATGTTTGTATTTATCCAAAACAGCCAACTTGCTGTGGTCAAAGAATTCCTGCATCAGTTAATGGAACATTTTCTTGTGCTATTTTACCTAAATCTGATTAGTAGAGAATGGAACATTAAAATATTAATTTTTGAAGAAATTGTAATTTAAAATATAATTTTATGGATAATTATTATTTGTTAAATAATGACGTTTTTATTTTTATAGACATAATAAACAAGTAATAAAATAACGGCATTATTATTATTATCAAATAAAAAATAAAAAGATTTTCAATTGTGTCTGTGTAATTATTCAAACAAAAAATAAATGAGCAATAAACCAGAAGAAACAATTGTGTAATAAATTTTTAAATATTTTTTTTTCAATATTTTTATAACACAATAAAAAATATTTTTTAAGTAATTCAATTCATTTTAAATTAAAATCCAGTTCTTTGTTATTTTCACTAAAAATTTTCCACACTTTTAGTCCAAAACCTATAATATAATTACAGTCTCTTTTTGTTTAAATTTCATTTTTTAATTATCGTGAAGAGTTATTAATTTTTTAAATTAAAAAAGTTTATTAGACTATTATTGTATGTACTTCATTTTAGATTTAAAGAAATATGCCAAAATTAGATGTAGGGAATGGAAATTAATTTTTATTTTTTTTTGATTTTAAATTTTTTATTTAGCGAAAAGAATTCTAATTAAAATATTTAAACCTGAATTTTTGTATTACAGAGAATATATATAAGGGGAAAATAATAAATAATTTTATATAATATTTAAAAATATTTTTTATTTAATTTTTTATTCTAAAATCTTAGAAAAAATCCTAGCTTAAATCTTTTTAGCCCAACTTAGAAAATCAAATCACTGCAGTTTTTAGAGAATTTTTCTTGTATATTTCTAACAAAAAAATAAAGAGACAGATGCTTGTTTGGATGAATGACCGCCAAATATACCGCGCCGCTAAATCACACACATAAATACATTTACACGTTTTATCAAAAATAAATTGGATAATTTCCAATGGAAGAAAATAAAAGTTTTTTCCCTTTACTTTTTGCGAAAAAACTCCAAATTTTTGTAATTTTTCTAATTCCATTAATTTTAAATATTCTTTGGCTAAAGCCTTATTTTGGTCAGTTTTTTTGTTAATTAAAAACTGGATATATATTAATTCTTTACTAAAAAAACTTTAATAAAAAAAAGTCTTTTGATTATTTTCTTTTAATTAATTTAATTTCTCTCTATATACATATATTTATTTTCTTTTTATTTTTTATCAACCAACCAAGTATATCTCCATTTATCTTTTCCTCAATTATCTTCTTCTTCTCTCCTTCCTCTTCAGTTATTTCCACAATTCACTAATTAATTTATTCAAATATTTTTCTCTTTTTCTTAACTTTCCTTAACAATTTACTTATCCTAATTTAAAAAAAAACTAAAAAAATAATTAGTTAAAATATATTTTTATATTTAAAATTGCTGCATTTTGAAGTTTTTTTGTTCTTAAATTAAAAATAAATATAGGAGGTACCTACTATTTCCTTTTTTGTATAAATACTTTAATTTAAAATAATTTTATTTTTCTATTTTTATTTTAATCTAAAACACTTGAGGTTAATTTAAAAGAAAATTAACTTTTTTGTTTATTGAAAAAATTTTTTTGTCAAAATTTTATTTTGACTTAACTACATATTTTTGATTTTTTTTCTAACTATATAGTATAGTAAACACAAACAATTTATAAATTTGGACAAACTACATCCGAAATTATTTTTCTCAGCATCTTTATGAACATTTATAAAGTTTATTTTATTTTTTGGTTTTACTCAAGTTAGGAATTCGAAATTTAATTTAAAAAACTAAAACAATATTTATAAATATTATAAATTTTGTTATAATCTCCTAAATAGTTACCTCCTAAATAATTAATCTCCTAAATTTTTATTTTTTATTTTTAAATAAATCAAAATTCTCTAATTAAAATATTTAATTATATATGAATAAATTGAATGTTCCAAAATTTAAACATTTAAAAAAACAAAGAATGTTTAATTACGTGTTAAGATCAGTCAAAACCGTTTTTAGACATAAAACTATCTCCTCCACCCTCTCTATTTACTTTAAATAAAGTGTTGCGCTGAAGGTGGAAGGAAGGGGAGGGAAGGGGGGGTGATGTTTCTAGGCACATGAAAAGGGAACGTCATTCAAAATGATCTCTCTTATTCGAAAAATTAATTGTCGAGAAGATATATTAAAGCCTAATTTATTTATTTAACTTAATTGAGGCAAAAAATGAATTTATATATATTTATTAATTCCTTCTATTAAAAATTTTAATTTTTTAAATTTTTCTCTAAAATATATATTTTTTTATTAATATCACAGATCACTTTTTGAATAATCAATCTGTCATTTTGAATCAGAATTATTTAATTTTATTTAAAAGACAGTGTTAGTAATTTAATTGAAGGGCAACAAACATTTTTATTTTCTCGCTTCTGTGGGTGGTTTTGATTTCTCACAATTTTTCTTAAAAACATTTAAACAATATTAAATAAATTATATTTAATTTAAAAAATATTTTTATTTTCTCTCAATATTTAAATTAATTCATTAATTCTACTAGAAATAATTTTAAAATATTTTCCCAAATTGTTAACTTACCTAAATTATTTTAGTTATCTAATTACTCATTTTTTAAAAAATAATTTTTTTCCTTTTTAATATTAATTTATTTTAGTTTAATTATTTTAATTTTTGATTAGTTTTTAATTAATAAAATATTCAATTTAAAAATTTTTAAATAAAAATTTAAGTTATTTTTTATTTAATTATTTTCGTTTACTTAAAAAATATCGGGACGAGATTGATGACTTAAAAAGTTTTTTTGGCGACCTTTTTTTTTCTCGCATTTTAACAATATTTTAAGTGTAAAAATATATGTATAAAAATGAATAAGTAGCAGTTAATGTTTGCTAATATTTTTTTAAATATTTGCTTAAAAATATTTTAAATAATTTTATTTAAATAATATTTAAATAATATATTAAAAATAATTATATACCTATGTATATTTTAAAGTTAGTAATTTACTAAATATAATTAAATATATCGTAAATACAAATACTCTAATTAAAGCTCTGGGCGTCTATTTTTCAATGGGTACTTTGGGTGGGATTATATTAGATGTGGGTTTCTATTAGGGAATGGGCGTTTATTTATCAATACTTAAACTTCACACTTGGATCATTTGCAACCAATATACAAAGTGGAACTTATAAGTAATTTTAATTAGTACATTTACGGTATACTCAATAAAGTTAATAGTATGTTAGAATCTGTCCCGAGTGAGACATCTTATTAATATTTGAATTTATTTAAAACGTTTCTTTTAGAAAATACTACTCTAATTTTCTTTCCGTCAGTTACGCAATCTGAACCTTTTTTAAATAGAAAAAATAAATATCAAGTCAATTTCGATTTATTTATTGTCGCCTATATAAAATAAATACTTTAATTTTTTTAAACAACACAATTTGGCAGTTTTCATTTATTTCTTCTGACCTTTATTTTTGTTATTTAGACAAACTCTTTTTTTAATTCTCTCCCTGTGCAAGAACTAAAAAGTGTTGATAACATTTTTTATTCATTTAATTTGGCAACTTCTCTTTAAATTTTTAAAATAATTCTTAATTTATTTTTTTTGATTTTAAAAATTAAAATT